TATATATATATATATATATATATATATATATATGTATATACATATATATAGTGTACCAAAAATTAAGAATAATAGTGCAATTTAAGATATAAACGTGTGAAAACGTACAAAATAGAAGAACATAGAAGAATTCGATGAATATACATATAAAATAAAAAAAAACTGCATACTAAGAAAATGCGACAGAAAATTTATAGTTATAGTGCAAAATAAGAGTATGAATATTTAAAAATATTCCCAAAAAGTGGAAAAAAATTTGGAAAAATTCAATACAAGTTCCTGACAGAAATATTTTTCAAGCTGTCGATACATGCCATTCTAATCATTGTGCAGGCCACATATGAATTTAATCACGTCGACGTTACCACGAATAGAGTCGAATGCATGGCACATTCGTCAGAGATTGATCAATGCTTAGAGCTCTATCCTTTCATTCTTTCACTGGATTCTAGAGCAACCAAGGCCTTCTATAGTTTAGAAGTACTGACTCGGTCCTGTTTTACCGTGGCTATCAAGCTTCTTGATTACAAGTGGCTGACCCTCTGCTTCAAACCAAACGATTCTGGTGTTCATTTTAGAAGCGTCATTGCTTACGCACAGTTGCTGAGTCGCAATGCTATTGATCATTCTTGAAATCAAATAGGACCCACGTAACTCCTCTTTTCGAACGTGCCATACAACGAATCTCGGCGATTCTCCAAAGCTCTGATGGTTCCTTTAGTTAAAGTTAGCCTCCGTCCGCTGTCTCGTGATATAAAGCCGTTTTCCCCTGCCTCACTGGATAGCGCGAAAAATCTGGAAAAAAATCATTTGATTTCAATTAGCAACAGTTGCCAGCTTCACCACTAGCCTGTTGATTTGTGGCAAAGGAACAGCTTTAAGAAATGCAGAAGACTCGACGGGTGCTGAGCTCAGAAAACACCAAATCGGTGCGACTTTAAAGTTTAGTGAACGGACCGATGTCGACCGCAGCAACGAGATACAGCGTCGCCTTTGCTGTAGTTGGTTAGCTTGACACCAATCCATTTCTACAGGACGCAAAAGTGCTACGTAGCAGTGCTGGTACTTCTTATTGGCTTACCTCTTTTTAAATGCTGCATCAAGAGTTTCTGTTCTACGCTTCATGAGAGAAAGACGAAATGATTCGAGGTTCTGCACTACTCGACGACGCCCGATCTGCTCTCCCTGCAAAATATGAGCTACCCATGGTAAATTTATCGAGCTGACAGGATGGTTTAAAGAAAACTGTAAACGTAGCCCATAGAAGGATTTATGGAACTCGAAAAAGAAATAAGAGTGTCAATTTCTTAAACAGCTTATCCTTAAAGCGCTGATCAGCAGCATGTTTTGCACAGGTTTAAACCAACTCCATAGCAATTTCTTCAACCATTGATGTTCCTCATGTAAGGAACCTCAAGCCGCTGATAAAGACAAATCCAATGTTTTTTTTTGATAAAGATAAGACATGTACCAATATAACCAATAGGGATTTATATGCGGATCCAAAAAACTGTTATTTAGACTGAGATGCGCGTGCATTAATCGGATGAGTTGCCTGCCTGATGAAGTGGTTTGGCTCATATCGTCCGAAAGGACGAAATCATATTCATGCATATTTGCGTGGGTGGGCTAGAGTGTAGGCAATTATGTGTTGCATTATCGACTCAACCAGAAGCCTGCAATAAAATGACTAGGAGATACATAAGAAGCGGTTCGGAATCGGCTTGGAATCGCCTCCAACAAATGAACTGTATTTTTAGTTGGAGAGAGCTGGACAAGTTATCTATAAACATATACAACTGAGAAGACCCAGTGGGTAAGGTATTGCCTATCAAACGGAGAAATGAGGATGGAAGAGGTATATGCAAAAATAAAATAGTGAAGAATAAAAAACAAGGCCATCCGTCGTTTTCATCAAGCGAACGAAGACGACTTGACATCTCTAAAGTGATGTGAGAATGAGGGGAGACTTTATTGGCGGTACCTCCAATACTCGATCACTACTTTTGTTACAGGTAGTCGGGGTGAGGTGCTATCTCAGCAACCGGCATTCACACAGTTCAGCGGTTAGAAATAAAAGATAACCCTTGCCTTGGGCATTCATGAGAGTTGCACTTTGCATTGGACTTCATCAAGCATTCTAATGGTGATCAAGTGGAAATCCAGTCTATACAAATACTCAAAAGACCGGTTTTCTAAAAACTTTGACATAAACGGTTGATATATTTGTTCATATGACCTTATAAACTGATCTTGTTGAGCTGATGCGAGGTGGGTATAGGTGTTCGTTGTTGTTGTTGTCGTTGTGTTGCAGTTGGTCGATGGCAGACGCATCGGCGATTTTGTCCTCCTCAGAGCCGTGCTGTTACTAGTGGGACTCATATACAAGAACTGTCGGTGATAACCAAGGTGTCAATTCAGTTCTGTTATGCTTCCAGACAGGTCTGGTACCAATTTGCCGACCCTGGCGGCAACGAAGGCTTAGTGAGCCTGGGGCCCGGACCGAACCAACAACCACGTGTGTGTTACAGTGCACCTCTAATCACTATGCTGGGCGCGCAAGTAAAGTAGGGTATTCCTGTTTCCAGGAAAGGTGATCCACTCAAAATTACCATGTCTTCGTGGTTTTTTTCGTCAACGCCTCGAATCGCTTGCAGTTCTCTTGCAATTTCTACCGCATTGTGCACAACGAGCTCGTCCTCGCTTAGTTTCCCAACAGTTTTGCGGAAACAGAACAATTCGGTGGAGGCGATGATGTGTGCCAGAGTGCCGAAACGATGACAAAGCATCGCGATAAACTGTAAGTTGAATTTTTTAGATTGATTGCAACGTATGTACACAGTAGACTAGAATACTCCCAAATGTAGACAGATTGTGAAGCGTTTCACCTGTATAATAAGAATACTCATGAAGAAGACAAGAAAGACCAAGCCGAGAGGTTCTAACTGCAGTCGGGTCACCACCCACACTTCCTAAAAAGCAACTGTTAAGATAGAGTGAACTGAGAAATTTCTATAAACCTTCGAGGTTAATAATTCAAAAGACCGACTTTCTATGAACCATGTCATAAATAGTTAATATATTTATTTATATGGTCTCATAAACTAATATTTTTGAGCTGATACGAGGTTTGCATAGGTCTACCTTGTCGTTGTTGTTGCCGTTGTAGTACTAGTAGTAGTAGTAGTAGTAGTAGTAGTAGTAGTAGTAGTAGTAGTAGTAGTAGTAGTAGTAGTAGTAGTAGTAGTAGTAGTTGTTGTTGTTGTTGTTGTTGTCGTTGGTTTTGGTGTTGTTGGTCGATGGCCGTCGTTTCGGCGATTTCGTCTTCCTGAGACTGAACGGAACGAGGAGCTCCACCAGTAACAGCACGGATCTGAGGAAGGCGAAATCGCCGAAACGTCAGCTATCGACCAAGAACACCAATAGCAGCGACAACGACAACAACGGCAACGAAGACGTGTACCAACTTCGCATCAGCTCAGAAAGATCAGTTTATAAGACCATATAAATAAATACACTTCAAGTTAATTTCTGTTAATAAGCACGTATACTCATCTAGGTGTTGCAAATGTCAGACCATGACAATTTTCGCCAGCAATTTTTTAAAATCTTTGCGCAGAAATCGAAATATGTTTTGGAACCAGTTATTCGAATTACCAAAAATTACCTCTTTCTTCTCGCCGTTACACAGGCGTACAGAATGATTGAACTTGGGTCCGATGGGCCATTCGATATGCAGGCAATCTTTCTGCAGTTGCAGCACAAGTATAATGATGATAAAGACCGTGTTCACCATGAAAAACGTTGAAACCACCTAAAATGGCAGTGAAACGAACATGAATAGCTAGCTATGAGGCTCTAGAAAGTTACCAGAGGAATTGACCTTGTTTCTGAGTTCTATAAGGGCTGCTCGGATGCGCTCCTGTTCCTTGGGATCGAGTGTCAGCGGTGACAAATACTTTTCGATGACGTCCAGCCAGAAATGTTCCTCATCTGAATCCATTGTTTCTGGTTCCGCTCTGCAAAATTACATCATGACTGAAATAACCACTTTGGATCGCATTTTTTCAGTCGATACTATGATGATTTGAATAGCCTTATATCTCTTGGGAAGAAAGCTTTTGAATATTTTCAATAGCTCGCAAATGAAATCAGACACTTCGCTTCTCGTAAAGAACTTCTAGACACGTTGCAAAATACTTCAAAATAGAGTTTTAAATTTACAATATTGTCTTTTTCAAAGAAATTTTCGAGCATTCAAAAATAATGACTTCTTTACTCAAACATACTCCTACCGGTTTACCGCCCCATCGTGGTCCTCGGCTAGGTCTCCCAAGCTGAGAAGGAGTTTGGAGTTTCCATCAGGAAGCCCAGCTAAGAGTAAAGCAATACCAGGGTCCACCACCGTCCTGGTATGAAACTAGTCGTTTGGTGGCAAATCTCCCTCTGATCCACAAAGGTGACGACTGTCTGTGGTGGTGACAACTCGGGGCACACTTTGCCATGCTGACCTCGGGAGCTCAAAGAAACACGATGGCTTAACCATCAAAGCTCCGAAGATTGGAGAACATGCTGTGCCCGCACGACCAGTGAGGACGGGCCGTCAAAGTAACCAAGTTACTCAAATATCCGAAAGTCATGTTGAACATTTCTTATAATGTTGTTGATTATTGAGTATACACCTTTTAAACAACGGCTTTAAAGCAGAATTCAAGCTGAAGACTGTATCTAATTACCAGTTATTTCTAAATCATTTCCGGATGAGAGAACAGGAAAATTTCTCTAAGGCTCCATAAAAGCGCGTTTCTATCGACAACAAAGGTTTCAGCAAAGTCCATGTTATTTTTGTTGTTGCGCACTGAGAGCATCGATATTCCTTTCAAATGAATCGTTCGCTAGCTCTCTTCCGAACCTTTTTAGCGCCTTGTCGTCCAGCCAACTGCGACGCCCGACGCACCTCATGGTCATCTGACGCGGCAACTGCGAATCGCAATTGAAGGTCTCCTGAAAATCGCCTTTCAGCTTTCCAACGTGATTTTCGTAAATAATCGATTTATACTTGTTCGTTATCTTCAATTTCCAAATTCACATCGTTGCCAGTGCATTCGGCGGAGACAACCGATAGCCTGAAAAGAACTTTATAGGTGAAGAAATCCAGCTTTAAGATTTTATAATAGAAAGAAATAGAAATAGGAACAAACTAAAAACTGAACGACTCCAATCGAAATGGCTGGCAATTCTACGCTTAATTGACCAATTTGGTCTTTTGTAACCTCATTGTGTCACGTGATACACTGTAGCGATGCAGCGCGTATGGTTGTAACGCATAAAACAGAGGGAGTCACATGAGCAACTTGGCACCCCACGAATCCTTAGCGACAGAGGGACGATGGCGACGCTGTTACCCTCAGAGAAGCTTATGAACTTAGAAGAATCCTAAACTCCACAAATACGAAACCATTCTTTCGCGAAGTGGAGAAAAATACTCGAAAAATTTCCCAACTTTCGAAACACTTTAATAAGGATCGCTCGTAGACGACATTGATGTTGCTGTACTCACCTACGTGTTAGTCCATGTTGTTGCTTCCGTTCGATTCTCTCCAATTTTTTGCTGATTTCATTCAGCTTTTCATTGATTCGCCAAATCTGAATGTTTTTACATGTTTTTGTCGTTTTCGGTTTACTACACGTACACATGGGCGCATTTGGCGCAGTGGTCGAAGGTGCTCTGCAATACACAAGGGATCGTATTCCTCGCCCTTGGCTCACAAAGCTTTCCAACCCTCCGGGGTTGGCAAATTGGTAGCAGATTTGCCTGGGAGAGTAGCAGCATTGGCTCGGTACATCAGTAGGCCACCACAAGTCACTCTAAAGGCATTCAGATATGCATTCAATCACCTACAACGATGCTTAATGAAGTCGAAAGCATGGCGCATCCGTCAAGGATTGATCAACGCCGAGAGCTTTATCCTTCATACTACTAAGGAGATAATGCTTTTCATACAAAGCATTGCTTCTCTGTGTAAAAAGCAATACTCCTCTTCATTCCTGTAAATATTGTGATCATCAGCTGAGTAGAACTCTTGATTTCTTGCTTCTCCGATTCCAAACCCATGTTCCAATTCGAAAAGAACACAACTGAAGCTTCGCAAGCAGTGTCGATAGCAGTAAGTCCAATACCGTCTAATGAAGGCTGGTGAATTCCGATCCATGCTGCACAAGTTCGTCTACCCCATCCTGGAATTTCTCGTTTACTTCGAAAGCTATGTGACATCATTCGATAGACAAATAAACGATTTCGTCGAAAATAGAACATTTTGTTGTAGCTCAGTGGCCGGAAATAGAACGGAAAAGTGTTCGCCGATGGTGTTCGTTCTTATGATAGCAAGTCCGCACGAGGAACGGAGTCTGATGTGTGGCACCTATGCGACATAAGAAAAACTGAAGAACGTTCATTGGTTTCGACAGGCATCTCGTTATCTTTCTTCTTACTCAAAACACATAATACCGTCAAAAGCGCACCACGAGAGGATTAACGGCTTTAAGACATTATTGAGAACTCATAAAACCTACATCATGTGGCTGCTAAAAAAGACTATCGCATTCTATTCAATAATGGTCACACCGATGTTCTTGAAACGGAATAGCATAAAAAGAATAAAGGATAAAACTCTCGGCATTGATCAATCCCTGAGGAATGCGCCATGCATTCGACTTCATTAAGCATCGTTTGGAGAATACTGAATGCATATCTGGCCTTTAGAATGACTCGCGGTGGCCTAGCGATGTATCGAGCCAGTGCTGCTATCCCCAGAGAAAGGTCTGGCACCAATTTGCCGACCCCGCAGCGATGGAAGGCTTAGTGGGCCGTGCGCACAGGGATTAATTCCACGTGTGTGTTGCAGGACGCCTCCGACCACTGTGGCACACGCGCCATAGCATACTGTACACTTTTAAGAATTTCACAGTGGATCTGTAATCTTGCTATCAACATTATCCTTAAACAGTGAGTAATCTTGCCATTGCGCTACTACCATAGCACCCTCTTAGAATTGTCGAATTTGACTCCCATTTCTTAATAGTTCCTGGTATTCTTTAAGTGGAGTGAAGCTTGATGACGAGATACGAGTTTTTATTATATATATATATATACACATATATACATATTATATGTCAGTAGAATAAGCTTAGATTGGCTAAATAAAGAAGTACTATACATGAGATGATTTCGTAGCGAGATGATTCGCTGGCTGCAAAACACGAGACATGTATTTCATAACCGTCCTGGTGGTTTCATCTTCTGCAGTTGAAACTCTGTAAGTAGTAGCGAATTCCTGCGGTTCCTTAGCGAGCAAGATATCAAAAGAACAATTTGCAGTGCTACTCTTATGATTGACAGAATGTTCATTTGTTTTTGTTGAAAGTATTTCTGTGGAAATGATTGTCGTTCGTGTTCAAACCCCGACCTCGGCATTCTGCGTCCGGCCATCCATTCTCCTCTGTTATCGGCGGCTGTCAATCGATCCTTGATGGCGACAAAACTATGCTTGACGTTGTCGTTATAACGACGTTATAACTGTGTATGTGTCAGGTGATTGGATTAGGCTGAGGTATGGCGCCAGGTCACGCGTGATGACAAGACACTCCTCCTTGCGGTTCATTTTTGAATTTTTGGCATTGATCCAAAACGCTTCGAGAGTTTTACGTGCTGATGTTTTCGATTCGTGCGTGAGGATAGAGACACCTACTTCAAAATCTTCTCCGTTGTGTTCCTGCATCCTATGCGCGCCTAGTGGAGTGTTTGGATTTAATTTAGATTTACCGATTAGGTGTTCTTTTATGCAGACGCAGAGCGGTCCACCCGTTTCGCCAACGTGTTCGTTCCCGTACGTTTTACAAGAGATCATATAGACTGTACTCGACTCATGCAATCACCTTCTCTACTGTTAGAGCAAATTAAGCAGTTTTTCGTTATACATAGACGGTCATATAGGCGGTTGCCAACTAGCTGGCGTCTTAGAGTGTCGGATGATATTTCTATCACTCTTACGGAATTCGCTAGACTGGGCCCTTATTAAGAACGTTTTGTAGCTGCACTTATTTCGTTTGAAATAAACGGCAAGAGGAACGGAGCCTTGCTTTCGCTAGAATTATGGCTCTGGGGCGTGGTTTTTCTTCTATGCCTATGCCGAGAAGCTACAGTTTCTTAACCATTTGAAATGGCTATTTGGTGCGCCAGTTTCGAGGATTCCTCCCTCTGCTCTCTACCAGTGCACACGCTGGCAACAGTTCGAAACATATTTCTTATAAGCGTCCTTTTAGTGTGTGAGGAATGAGAGGAAAGGTAGTGAACCACCATATTCTTACTACTTGGCCGTCGATACCATTTTGTGATGATTTGAACGTTTTGAAATGCAATCCAGTTTTTTTTTCGGTTTCTCACGGGTGAATTCTATGTACTCTGACTATTCGTTCAGTAACTCAAAGCATTTGTCCATCTCCTCTTGTGTGGAGCAGATGACAAAACAATCATCCATATACCTACGGTAGAGTAATGGCCTGAGATCGACTACTGGTGCTTCCACTTTCGACATAAAGGCAACGGCAAGGGTTGGTGCCGGTCGCTGTCCCATTGCCAACCCTCTGATTTGCGCATAATACTTTCCGGACCATCTGAAGATCGAGCAGTTTGAATAGACCTTTAGGAAAACCATAAGCTGCTGAATCGAAAAGCCATACATGTTAATTGCTCCTTCGTGTTGCTCAAGAAGCTCGCGGATGGCTCGCCTTGCGGTGTCGTTCGACACGTTAGTGTAAAGAGCGGTAATGTCGAACGACTCCATAGTGTACGCACTTTTGGGACGTGCATTGCGTGGACGGTCTGGGAACATTTGGGTGTTCGTGAGATGGACTGGTATGTGCTTAAGCAACTGGTTGAGGATTAGATTTACAAACCAAGCAATTCTATCCGTAGACTCGTCTACACAACTGATGATGGGTCTAACTTTAAAGGTGGAGGGGTCGGTAGACGCCAGATCATTAGCGGATATTAACTTATGGTTAGTAAGTATAGAACGGGACATGTCGGCTCTTCGATCTTAAGATGCGAAATATCTGCTGGTTTTAAACCTGGTGTGCTGGCCATTTTGACCCATTCATTGTTCAGTTTTCGATTTTGACTTCTGAATTCCTTTTCAGTAGATGCGCGATAAAGAGATGCGTCTTCAAGATGTTTTTCCGTTATATCGACATCTAACTGACGAGGAATTATTGCAAACTCTCCACCCTTATCACTAACTGATAGCCTAATAGTCTCTAATTTTATTAGCTCTCGAACCTGTCGCGTATCAGATTTTTGTGCAGACGTAAGGTTCGAACTAAACTTTTTCGTGCCATAATGGTTGAGGACTTTCAGAGTTTCGCCCGAAAATATACGAAATTTTATATCGACTTCGTCGTTTGGGTCTTGCTGTCTAAAGAATAACCGAGGAAATGGAGGTGGTGGAAGTGCCCTCACTTCTCGTTGTTCCTTTTTACTTCGTCTCTCAATTCTAGCGTTGCTTCGGAGTCGATCTCGGAGCTCGTGCAGGCTGCACGTGATCCTAAGCAAGGTTTCTTTAGAAATGGGTTGCGCTGGTAAGAAACTTGGACCCAATTCTAATAGCGAGCGCGCGTCATCAGGAAGAGTTATGCCTTCTAACACGGTGACCCTTGACATTTCAGGCACGTTATCGACCATATTTTAGTGCTAGCGCTTCCGTAAACGATTTTGCTTTGTTTAATTGAAGCTGGTTTTTGCGAATGGGCTAGTAAATTTTAAAACTCTCTGCTTAAGGTTACTTTAGCATTCGACGTAATAGAATCACAAATCAAAATTGACCCACCCACTATTCTCCTCCAAAGGGATTCCTCCAAATACTGAACACAACAAGATTCCTTCGACTTGTACTTCTTCAATTGCGCGTACATGGTGTCCTGTTTGCATCGAAGAGAGGCGCGTAGTAGTCGCGTTTCGCTGTCCAGTACTAGTTGCCTGTCCCTCGGTAGGCCGCATATATCGTGTAGTCGTTTTTGTTTGATGAAGTTCGGCAGCGACGGAGAAAGAGTATCGTTTGTCTAGCTAAGACAATTTTTTGTCTTAGTGACAGGACTTCTTTTACAAGTCGGAAATATTCTGCTGGCACTTCACGTAGCAATTCCGTAGCGTTTTGGATCAATTCCAAAAATTCAAAAATGAACCGCAAGGAGGAGTGTCTTGTCATCAAGCGTAAACTGGCGCCATACCTCAGGCTAATCCAATCATCTGACACAGACACAGTTATCGCCCATGTATTACTCTGTGCGGCTGCTATCCACCAACTAACTTAAATACTTACAACAAATAAACGGTAGGTATTTAAATGAAGCTGTTTCTTATACGAATATAAATTTATTTATTCTTCCTTTCATGAGCTTACACAAGATTGATAATGATATTTATTTTCGGCTAGCGTTTCGACGTCTTCGTCTTCCTCAGAGCCGATGATCCGAGTCGATGGGCCATACTTGTTATTCGTCTCGACGTGGTAGCTTCGCCTTCCTTTCGAGTCAGGTCTTCCTCAGTGAGCCATCTCTTCGAATGAGGCATCCTCACTCAGTAATGCCCTTTTATACACGATGCTGATGGTGGATATAATGATAATGTCCGGTGGTAACAGCTTGTATTTCTTCAGGACATACATCATTGCGCACATCGTGCAATAGTCGGTGTTTTTATCAGCTAGCACAAAGTGTAGTAAAGAACGAATACATATTGATTAGTGATATCGAGGTTCAAGGAAAGTCGGTTTCGAAATATTACAAATTTATTTGTTAAGTTCTATCTGCTAGGGTTATGAAAGTGTTTGGCTGGGTAGATCGCATCTCAATTAGACCTTTCCAAACTCTGAAGAAGGCGAAACCGCCGAAACGTCAGCTATTGTATCCTAATAAATTCGATAATAACAACCTCGTGTCTGCTTATTGAAGAAAAACATTGAATTGACCAACAATTAGTTGGTAGAACCGCCCTCTATTCTCCGGAAACGGGCATGTGAAGGGAAGCGAAAAGTATGGTCGCTGGTTAAATACTGCGCCTCTGGATAACCAAATCCACCAACCCTGTGGGGTAACCCACGATGGCTTCTACACCTGTTTGTGGTATGATAAGCACTGATCTGATACACAATTGTGCTCTGCAAGTGGTTGTCTAGGCCAAATATACATTCAATCTCTAAGAAAAACATCGAATTGTCAATCATACCAGCCGGCAATAAACCCTTCGAAAAAAGGTCTCTTCATTCATTAATATGGGGAGGGGCGGATAGCACAACGGTAGTGATGTCCGTCATCACGAGCATGGTGCTAGTTCGATTCCGCGCCAGGCCTACCAAACCTTTCATTCCTCCAGAGTCGGGAACTTGACATCGGACTTGTCCGGGAAGAAAAATCACTATCTGCAATCCAATTGGGAACGCTCCAGCCTGACTATCTCAGGACTCCAGGGGAATTGCTCGGCCCCAGCACTCTACAACATTCAAGATGAAATGAAAATTTTCAAGCAGCAACCGAAGCCGCACGTAAAAGTTAGAAGATCTTGGACAATGGATGCGAGGAAACGAATCGAATGTGAGAAGCGCTGGAATCCTCACAGTAGACGTGAAGACGGATCAAATTTTAAAAAAATAAAAAAATAAATAATAAGTGTAGTACCGGGCTTTTCCATGCCGATGAACTCACATCTATGTTTGGTACGCTATAGAATGGCTATAAAAAGTGCAGCAAAAAATCCATCGCCAGCCAAATAAACGACAGAAAAGAAAATGCACTATGTTTGACTCACCTTGGCAGCAATGAGTTAAAGAAGCTATTTCTTATGATGTAGCGTCGGCATCTTTCTAAGCAATCGCACAACCTCTACACTGATTTTGTGTTCCATTTTTGTTAGGTCCTTAGCATTCACGTGTTATTTGCATCATTTTTAACGTGAATGTTCTACATTACGTGAATGGCAATGCTTTTTTAATGGAGTCCATGTAGCTCCCTCACCTTGATCACTTGGCTTGCGATCATATATTTTTGAAATACGATAAGATTCAAGTTGTAACTGATTGCTTATCGCATTCCCTTGAACCTCCACTCAGCCCTAGCTCTTCTTCGCTGAGCATCATTTGTATGCATAACTAAAACACTGCTTTCTGGATGTACAAACACAAGGTTGTCATTACAACGAGATTTATTCATTACAATACCGGCCGACTTCTCGAAGGTTCCGCCTTCTGCAGAGTCCGGAAGAGTCAAATTGATGAACAATCCACTCAGTCAAACACTCTCATAATGTCAGGGGTAAGAACTTATGACATAAATGCCTATTTGTTAATAAGCGGTTGGCGAAAAGTCAGCCAATATTGTACAGAATAAATCCTGCTGCAGTAACGTCCTCTTGTTTGCTCATCACGAAAGCACTGAGTTACTGGTCAATGCTGAGGTTAGAAGAAAGTCGGTCATGGCATATTTTACTGGCCTCTTATCCTACTTGGTCAATACACTATAGAAACTCTCTTGTGCAATTATTAATCCGTAATTATTAGCCTATTGCTGAGCATTTGTTTTGTTATTGACTTATCGTCTGTGAGGATGTATACATAAAGGTTTTAGGAGAAGCTCCGCACAGGAGGAACATTATAAATTCTGGCCATTATATTTGCTAATGGACTAAGCGTAGAGTGCTCGGCGTTGATCAGTCCTTAAGAGAATCACTCGTGCATTCGTGTTCACCAGCGTCGTAGAGATGATTAATTGCACAAATTTTCATACCAAAGTCGCGTCAGCTCAATCATACAGAATATAACTGATTGTTGTTACCAATGTTCAACTAAAGTCGGTTTTTAAGATTAAAGGCATGTTTGGCCTTAGCATTGACTAGCAATGCACTACCGATGCAACAAATGGGTCTCTTTTATCCTCTAAAGCGAGACGGAGACTTGGTGAGCTTAGACTAGAAGTAGAATCAAGGATTCTATGTGTATTGAAGGGCACCACTAACCACTGCTATACTCTCGCTCGGTTACAATATGCATTCTAGATAAAAATATTCCGTTTACGTCATCATCTATCCGTTCAGCTCTAGAACTTTTCGAGTATGTGAACAATTAGAGAATACCAACTTGTGGAGAGGATTCGTATCTATCAGGCTTGAGACAACACAGTAAGCGACATGCGCTTCCACATCCAATGGACCAGTCGCCGTCAACCTGAACTCAGCATAACTGCCTTTTCTTAAAACGATGCTTGAATAGACCAAAGTTTACCCTACCAAACATCTTATCTTTGAACTGAGAGCAACAGAATTTTCACTTGCATAAAGTTTAGAAGAAGTGGCAATGAAAAGTAAAAAACATCGAGAATTTTAGTCGTAACTTTTCTGTGATAATTGAGTTCCGTGAAAAGCATGGCCTAATTTCTAAAGAAGCAAATAATCAAAATCTCGTTCAAGCATTCTCGTAGTGAAGTGTTGTTTAAATTAACACTGATAAACCTCTGTTTCTACGCCATTTACCACCAAATCCAGGTGTTGTCCTTTACGAACTTTAGCCAGATCGTTCTTCTCTTGCGGTCGTGGATCCTCACGCGTTCCCCAGGACACCTTCAAAGACTGGTGACATCCACTAGATTCATGAGGAATCTCGAGAAATATTAGTCTAACCGTGTTCAGATTGCAGATGGAGTATATTGGCAGCAGCATGTACATACAAGGAATCGCCAAGAAATAGAGTAACCCAGGAATGATACATGTGAACTCGAGTGGATGAAGGATTGCCGCAGTCAAAAAACTAAAAATTTGCTATTATAAGAAAAAACGTTAAAAAGAACTCTGAAAGACAGAAATTTTGACGAGAATTTAAGACTAGGACAATAGAAATGAAACTTTTATTGCTTATTTCGGAATTTTAACACACTCTACACTTCATCCTTCAGTGATCTGTTTTTTTTCCTGATTTCCTCTCCGTGACTTAGGGTTATTGCTGGATGTGGTATTATGGGATTTCCTACCCCAGGATTCGCCTACAATGCTGAATAATTACGAGATTTCGATAAGGAAGACCAATTAAGAGGAACCAATGCCGCAGCAGTGCGTGGTAAGTTACCTGTGGCTACTTCATCGATAAAAACAATTCAAATAAGGAAACTTTTGCAACAAGCAAAATCCACTGAGCAGCTCTGGCGTGTGACCAGGTCGAATGAAAAATTTTCTGATGATTGTTCGAGCTACTCTCCATGGTTAGGGGTATTAAAGGTGATACAGGTGATCCTACTTCTCCAGCACAGATTCTGCTTACACTTCACTTCTAGAATATGCAAATTATGGTGTCCATAATCCATAATTCTTACACAGTAGGCGGTTTCTTAATCCTAAGAATATACGTATAAATATATTGCACTTTTAACGTTCAAAGGCTGCTTATATACATAAATTTTTTTTGAGAAAAGATCTCAAAGCAAACCTTCCGATGACGGTGAAAAGGAAAATCGAATGGGGTGAAAGAATTCCGTCCTTCTGAATCTGCAGCGAAGTGCCAACGAACACAGCAGTCATCAGCATGGCGAATAGCGCTCCAACTATTTGTGCCATCAACAGCTGAACGAAAACAATTTCAGTGGTATTCTCTTACTTGATCCTACTGAGGGATTCTGGTTTCCGATAGAATATATAGATGACATAATTGGCTCACCGAAATTTCTGCTTCGCTTTAAAATTTGTCTCCAAAAATTAAGAAAACGCAAGGTCAAAGCTCGTACAAAAATGTGACTATGAGGCACCGCTGACTGATTTCGACGAAAAACTCAAAATGCACAGCAGACTCCTTAGCTATCCACTTCGATCGATCAGTTTAGCAAGATTAGTTAAGCCGCAACTCACCTGTTTTTCGGGCTTGGCAGTGAGACAAACAACGCAGAACGTGACGACTGGTAGAGTAACGACGAGCAGACTCCAAATTGTATCCATGTTGAACGAGATCGAGATCGCACCCACGACCATTAGGAAGATCGTGCCCGGGCCGAGCACCGATGAAACCAGCATCACTGTTTGATATATAATGTACCTAAAGTGGTGCACACGTTGAGAAGCATAGAACAGTATTCCCAATAAAAAAATCGCATAGAGTTGCACACAAGAAATAAAGGTGTTTGGCATAGCGTCACTATCTAATCTTCTCACGACTCCATTCTCACCATTGAACGCTCATATATCGAAATGCTCTTGCTCTGATATGTATGGTCTATTCAAATCTTGTTTAGTTAACAGGGCAATATTGTCATCGCTTATCTTAGAAGACGGTCATAAAGGTTCATATAGTCGTCTTCCAGAGGGATTCTCGGTAAAAGACATTTTCCAAACGTATCAAGTGCTAAATCAACTGTTACGAAAAAAGAGCAAAAAAAACAGAGCTGTTAAGGAGTCGCTTTCTTTTATCATTGGGTCCACCACTACATGAGACTAAAGAAAACTAAGAGGCGCATAGCGTTGATGATCCATAGACCTACCCCTCATGTACATAAAATAGTATCGGCAAATCTCAACACCCGTGAAAGCTCGCTCGTGATGAGTATCAATATCTTTTGTATCTATTGTATAGTATCTATTGTTTACCGATTAATAATGCATTTATCTTGCATGAGTCCAGTTTTGTTTGTATACCATTCCTTGCTTTGATATAAGCACTGTGGCATAAAAAAACACAAGGCGGTATCTAGAGTGATAGAAAACCGGCGTTTCTACGTAGTCCAGAAGCAACCAAGAAGTCTAACATCCTTTACGGATTTATTTGGATACCTGCAAGGCTCTGCATCACTGGTGCTGCCAACTCTAGTATGGTTTCCATTTGTTTCTCGTTCGTATAATCGTCATCCATGATTTCGCCTGCTTTGAAAATGGTGGCGCCCGCGAGGCCCATTCTCTAATCTTGAAGTCGTTCCCATCTATGAACGCAGACTGTTGATGATAGCTACGAAGACGTCCGCCCACCGTATGGATAACCTTTGAAGGGGACGCCCGTATTCTCTTAGAGTCCATTCCACTGCTCTTTTCGCCCATCGGTCACCCGTTCTTTTTATTGTGTGATCGGCCCGTCTGCATTTCGCTAGTGTCCTATATTCTCTTCATATCCCATAGATGGGATAGGTTTCGATTATTTGAGCTGCCCACACCGGATAGATATTGTGAGTAGTGGCTAAATTTCAGAATAAATCGTTCCACCGTTCCGTGGGTGGTGCGCAGATTGCATAAAGTGGTTGAATTATTAGCCAACATTTCTGCTGCATAACAGAGCACTACGTGGACTGTTGAATCGAATAGATGAGTGTGGAATTTTGGGCTCCTGAGTTGGTTCGTGGCTTCTTTGGGAGGCTCGAATGCGGCCCAAGCTGCTCTCTTTCTTCTGTTTAATTCACCCGTCACGCTGTTTTTCATGTTCACGCCCACGGTGTACGTACGAGGCTGTCTCTGCAATCAGAGAGCCATACGGTTCATTCTTTTCGTCTCCGCATTATGGCTTTTTCATAAATTTGATTTTCTTCCGATTTATGCGATGGCCGATTTTTTCCCACTTCGTTGATTTCATTGAGCATCTATCATCCACAAAACGATGATTTGATAGGAATTTTCCATCAATACGTATGGCGTTATTATCCCACTCGAGTGACTTCTTTATCTTCTGCAGTGAGGTAGTAAACACCTTTGGCGATATTGCGTCACCTCATCGACCTTTTTCTTACGTGTGCGGTAGAGGGACGATGAAAAATCTCTGTATTTGTGCTGCAATTGAGATTACATTCATGTATTTTTTGTAAATGGAACGGGTATATTCATTAGTCGACGAGTGCTGATAGGATTACATTCGCTTCGACACCATCAGGTTAGGACAAGGAGCAGATGGTACTCGCGACAGACTGCCATGACCTGTGATAGGTTTTGGATGTGGTCAATGCAATAAAATTCTATCGGAATCATACTTGCTCAACTAGCTATGCCTTGTCCAAGTTCTTCGATTCAGCGAAGGAATAATCTTCGTGAACAGCTTGTAGAATGCACCGAACAGGCATATTACACAGATATCACGAAGATCCCTCCGGTCACTCTGCTCAGGTAGGATGACCGTGCACGTCTTTTTTCTCAAGGTAAAATTTCACGTGGATTGCGAAAAGCACATGTGATTCGTGGCCTCCAGTTTTATAGGAATTTGAGGCGGTATTAACGAGTTTTGCAACAAAACTTGCTTTTCTTCATGCTCTCTATCACAACTCAAACTCCGGAGTGTAGACTCCTGTGTGGCGTTTCATCAGAGGAGATTTCGGAGTCCGAGACGGGGTTACGAAGAGGAAGAGAATGGCACAGAACTTTTCGGTTATAGATTCCATGTTATGGTAGGAGACAGTGATAGTCCCATCTTCGTTCATCAGAGTAGAGAGCGGAACAATAAAGCCTAAAAGGTCCCGACGCCGCTCCTTCAGACTAGGTCGTTTTTGAGCTGCCTGAAAAAATATTCTAGGGCCGGCTCAGTGTCCTTCTTTTTCAAACAACTCAATGGCAATGCAGATACAGTTTAAAGTTTTCGTTCGAAAAACTGAACCCTGTTCGGAACAAGTTTTAAGCCCTTCGAGAAAAAGCGTGTAGTCCTTGGTTAGGTCCTCATTTATATGCTAGTCATATGAGGAAAGGATTTTATTCCATCTTCGTCATGCACGCATTCTTTCATTATTATTGGATAGTGATAGGAGCTCTTCTCCAACTTATGGCTGAATCGATTCTTCGCACAGAGAAGGCGGTGATCGCATCCAGCACAGAATCCCGATACTAGATGGCAAAGAGGCACCATTTTCTGTTAATGTGACCGATCTCCACATAAGTCGTGCCGTTTGGAAACTCTCGTAACCATCGGCGACTTTCTCTCTCCTCGAAAAATAAACTCCTATAGAAGAGACGTGCTGCGGATAGGAACCCTACAAGACGGTTTCCATTCTCATTTCGTTCTCCAATTCCAAATTTCCCACTCCGTATTCATTTTCGTTGGTGGCTCCTAATCTGGCCTTGAAGTTTCCAACAACGAATTTGTAGAAAGACTTCTCGCTATGGACTACTTTCTCTAACTGGTTGTGGAATGCCTCCAGTTCGATCCCATCAGCTGTACATGTTGGTGATTAGTAGGTGATGAAAGTGATTTTCTTTTGACGCAGAGGTTGGAGACGAAGAATGGCCAACCACGGTGATGGGATTTCGTGTGGGTTAACTAGATGAGGAATAGATGGTTGTACGGCAAGGCCGACACCTCCGACATTTTATAACGGAAAACTCCCACCAAAAATGATAAGGGTTCCGACACCTAATTGGCGTGTATCGGTTTTCCTACTTTTCGTCTCTTGTAGGGCGATCGTATGGAATTTGATGCGATCGGCGGCCTTAAGCAGAGTGTAAAGGACGAATTCTGAAGAGGCTCTACTGGCGCTATAGGTGCACAGCAAGTCTCAACCAATCTTAATAACGAGCCGTGGACTTGTTCGTTTTACCCAATTCCAATGACGCTCTGTGCAACCTATAATTTGAAGACCTGTCACCTGTAGTCTTATCGCTCGACGGGGTAGACAGGATCGGCCAGTGTGTAGAGTACTGCGGCGAGAGACTTACAGGTTTAGCGAATGCTGTTGCCTGGAGATCCGAAGTCAATCTGGCAGAAGTCTTTCTTTGGTCGCCACCACCGCGACAGTAGCTGGCCCTTGGGGACCAGGAAATTTGTCACCATGTGACTATTTTGACACCATGACGTGATAATTCCTGGTACGGTCTTACTATTAGCTTTTTTGGGTTTCCGGAGGGAAACGTCACTATTCGTTTATCACAGTAGAGTCCAACAATAAACTTTGACTAAAGTAACCAATTAATCACCAATACTGTTGCTTTGAAAGTTGTGCAAGGAGGTCTGTAGCACAAGAAAATACATTCGTTCATATCAGTTTTGATAACGAAATATAGTGATGAGGGGTACACCAACGCAAGTGGTTGTCATGTAACATTTGATAAGATCATACTCGTTGAAATTATCTGTGGGAAGGCATGTGTTCCTTGAAGTCGATGGATTTCTATCGGAGTTCTATTTTAGGTCAACAACATTACTAGTGGGAATTCCACTTACAAAATCACATACGTTAGTGAGCCAATTTAAATGCCACAGCGTGATTTACAGAGGTGGTTAACAGCGAGTGAGATAAAATAGTTAGATGCTTTGAGTTATGAAAGAAAAGTACGTACTCCGAATTTTCACGAAAGTAACGCTAGTGATGCGTTTTACCTTTTTCTGCGTATAAGTGGAAATCAACTATTATTCGTTAGTACCCACCATATGGAAATACTTTCGTTCACACGCACAACGTTCTTATAGTCCCTTAAGAGGTCGATGACGTTCGCAATAGTGGATGGAATCCATCGTCTTCGTTGGTTGAAGAATTCGTTGAAACCTTCTGGAGCGAAAGTTAGCGCATCCGATGCTGCACAGTACTCTACCCTGTTGAAAGAAAAAGTCTTAGTCGAAACCGGAAAAAATAAATTAGATGAGTATATAGTGGAAAGAAATTGTTGGAAGACATTTTAAAAACACCAAATATTCAAAGTTAGAAATCGGTGTTCATGAATTCACACGCCCATATACGGTGCCCAAGCGGTGGGTATGACTTCCCTAAGAGTCATGTGCTTTCCGCTTGTTGGTTTATACGCATAGAATCCTTTTTCTGTAATTCTTGAGGCCAAATGATCGCTTGTAAGATGTGGATGTTGTGGTGGCGTCGGCCAAGGAAAGTTCTACTCTGAACCTGGAAATCAACGAGGACCTTTTTTCTCGAGTAAGTTCATTAAGCGGTAATTTGACTGCTAATCGACTGCTGTTTCAATTCCAGCTGCTATTATAAATCACGGTGGTGCTCTGGAATGTTCAGGTACAACAATTTCGAAGTAGACTGAACATATGCTGCGAAACACTTCCAAATGGCAAAGCCATGATGTTACATTTACTTCCCTTCATGGGAATGTCCCTTCTCGTTATGGAAAAAACTATGCTTTACTGTCGAAAAATCAACAAGCCCTAACGACGCAAAATTAGAAGTCGCCTCTGCTTCGTTCAATCTGGTATCAACTGATTAACAAGAATATGTACAGCTTGAATCCTTTCTTCGTGAGAAACGGTGTTTCACAGATTGCAGCGTCATAGAGACTATTGCAACCCTTTTCTGTCTAACAATGTAATCAATGTCCTTGGTATGTCACCGCCGAAGTCCGTGTTAAGCGGCGCCTACTATTCTTTTTAGTAAAGGGAGTCTGATGGAAGATAGACCATTTTCGAGGAAATCCTTCAGATAGCGAGTGCTTTAGAGTTTGTTCATTATCTCGTCCTCTATTTGGATTACTTTCTTGTATTGGCATCACACAGGGTGATTAGATATCACTTCAGCGAAAGTTTTCAAGAGGCGTTTCAGCACTGCGGCTTCAATTGAAACTGTTCTTCATACGTGATATAAATCTTTCAACGTACATCGATGACATCCAGAAATTTGACGGTTTAAAAGCAATATCTTTGTTTATTATTAAAATTACGCGAGGTTGGAAAACACATGTACGTACATAAACTCATTTCACATATGCATATACAGCTATACAAACATACAAACACACACACACACACGCACACATGCCCACGCCCACGCGCACACACGCACGCACACATGAACGGCTGCAAAGCTTGATATATTGAAAACATGAGATAATTTGTCAGCACAGGTCTTCTTGGTTCGGGAGCAAACAGTTTTGAGACTTTAAACTATTGCTCTCCAGCCTTGTTACACCCCGCTACGCTTCCTTCATCACCATGCAACTGACATCTGCCAGGGTAGAAAATTCAAGCAACGGAATTTATCGATAATGCCATAAATCTCAGGCGTAAATCAGTATAAAGTAACCATAGAATTGGCAACACAACGAAATCAAATATAGAAATCACTCCTAGAATACCGCAACTTTTTTAAATTTTTAAAAAACCGAAAAAATAGGACTGATATAGCAGCTGCAAATTCGACGTCATTTTCGCACCTGTAGCCTCTCTGTAGAAGAAGTGTACACAACCATCTGTCCTCGCCTTGATCGTACTGAATGTAATCTATTGGCTCTTCAGATTTGCAGGCATATCTGGAATGAATCTGATTGATGACATTGGTCGAGACTGCTCGCTATGGTACTCACTTCCTGGTCACATTGTCGTCCATCAGAGCATAACTTCTAAATAAGGAGAAGCAACCAGGCGAGCACATCACACAGCCGATCATGTGTTCAGTAGCCTTTTGGAGCCAGTGACCTACTGCGTATTCGAATTTCTGGTACCATACCTACAAGGCGAATGGATCCAATTCTTGCTTTAAATTCTAGTATTTTTTAGACTTGACCAAGTGCTTAGCATTGATGAAAGGTGTGTGTATTGACTAAAACCGAAATTCGATCGATGAATTGCATTGTGTAGGGACGTTAAAACGGTCCGAGAATCATTAATTCACCATGCGAATGAGCTAACACAATGTTTAACGTCTCAGCGCCTTCGTCTTCCGCAGAGTGGCGTTGATCCCGAATCGATGTTCCACAGCTGGTTATCGTCGTGATGTGGTTGTTCGTTGTCGCATCGAGTCGAATCCATTGGAGTGAGCACCACTCGAATGGTTAACTTCACTCCGAAAGGTGTACTGCTCAGTGAAGTTCACTACTCGAGTGGTACTTCCTCAACTGAATTGGACTCGATGAGACCATGTACACTCACGACGCCGCAGCGACCGGCTTAAGACCATGGACTCGGATCAATAAAGATCTAAGGAAGCGAAGAGGCCGAAACCTTAGTTAAATGAAAGTTTTATACCAACCTCATACTAGCTCAATCTTGTACAAAATTATTAATTATTGTTACCCAGGTTCAATGAAAGTTTGTCCGAGTACCGATCAACTTTTCAGAGCACTTTTCCATATTCTGCTTCTTTCTTAAGGGCAGTCAACAGTTTTCCGTCAGCTCCATATAAAACAATTGAAGAATGCTTTCCTAGTAGATTCGATACAATAGACTCCCAAGATAACAACATAGATATTGTACCATGATGCCGGATCCTCTAGGATGAATTCGACCGCAAGCAGCACCGAGCCGCCGATTCTTCTTCATCAGATCAACAAGGAGGTGAACACAGTGCGGTGTGAAATCAACGTCACCATCAAGTGTCAGAATGAACGTGTTCTCGGAAATTACCTCCTAAAAGATTTGGCTGCAATCAATCTAATACATTACTTTACTTAGCGTAGCACTAGTGTATGTGACCAGATAATTCCGAAAGCTGCGATGGATATTCGAAGCCTTGTTGAAAAATTTACACCTCATCTTATCTTAACGAGACAGCAGTCTGTCTTTGCTTTGCCTGGCTGGTTTGCACTCTATGCTGTCACGGTTCAACCCCCAAAAACACCCACAAATCACCCACGGTGACACGCTAAGCCAATAGCAGTTATTTCATAATGTAAGGGGCATCGATGTAAAATTTCAGCGGAGAGATTGTTTCTTTGATTATGTGACTTGAAGGAAAAGTTGAAACAGAGCTAAAACAAGCCTTTCTGGACTGCTCGTCGACCTTCATCATGAGTCTGTAACCCAGCAGATAATAAAGGTACATTACCTGAAATTGTCTCATCACATTGCACTAGACTATTTAATAGATAAATTATCCCACCTGGCTCCATCGCTTTCTATGTCGAATTTTATTTTTGTTTTTGAGATGAATAGTTAGCCTGTTTTTTCCTGGCAGTATGTATTGCAGTCGACCGCCGTATGGCGTGCTCAGTTTTTTCGGCGGTCTCAGTCTCATCTGTGTCTGATGGACTGCGCTGAAGTGTACTTTGTTCATACCAGAATAGCTAGCATTCTCCAAGAGCATTTCATTCAGTACTGATAAGAACATCGCCAGCACGACACATTTGCTTGAGTAGTGCAAAGCGTGTCGGAAATGTCTAGAAACATTTTAGACGCCTAGATCAAGTCCAACGTAAACTGAGTTTTTGGTATGAACCTAGCTGCCTGATCGACCACACCGATGAGCTGCCGCACGAATTTATTAAGCGCTGCATCGCCGGACTCGTCAACATCGAACGCGTCGTCGAAGAAGACATGTGCTTCAAACTCGTAGTAATCGGGATCGATCACCTATGGGAAAGAATGGCTTTGTTATATTTAAAGGTTGGAAGCATTTGATACAGTTTTCCAGAAAGAATAAAGTTATGATAAGAAAAATCTGAACTACCGTCTTCTGTGATTAGTGCTCACCCTCGGAAAATCCTAAAGCGTTATGCGCTCAGAACCTTATAAAAGAGAAATATAAATGATGCAAACGAGTACCTTGAGGTATTTCTGAGCATTGCGACGAGCGCACTGGTCTTCGTCCATGCGGAAGATGCTCTTCAGCATGCACGTCATCTCAAGTGGCGTCTCGTGCCACATCGTTGCGCATGCGTAGATCTTCGTGATCGCGTCCGTACTGCTTGCCGAATCCCTGAAATGAAGCCTCTAACCATCGAGCACGTGGCTCTTGTTCTGGACTACGAACCACTACTGAACAACGCACCTCATCAAGCCGTTTTCCAGCTTGCCACTGCTCAAACTGCTTAGCGATGGAGGTGGCCTAAGTCCACGATGTCCAGTTCCAGGAACCGTCTCATACGTTAGGGAGGTGATTTCTTGATCAAACTCTAGGTCCTAGAATAATGTACTCCAATGATGACGAAGATAGGGCACGGTGATTGAGAAGGCTCAACTAACTATTATAGTCACAGTACTCTGCTATAGTACTCATCGCTTTCAGCTCTGTACTAGTCATTTTTCAAAAAAAAAGAGTGGGTAATGAAAGCAAAGTTCAAGCACTCGAACCTCTGGTCTGATCTTAGCTCTGTCATCCCGTCGTCGATTGAATGCCAGCGACTGATCGACAAAGGCACCAACAAAGTAAGGAAGGACGAAAAGCCTTAAATTTTATGAAAAAATACTGCTTGTAGATAAGGCGCGCGCATAGTTCATCAGGATTTCATTCATGCTATTATAAACGTACTAGAAAACTCACTTCTCACTTTTAGCTAGCCTTTCATGTTCAGGGGCCCACAAATACACAGTGATCCAGCACTGACTGATGAACCAACCCATCCAAATCCAAGTTTGTGGCGAAGAGATGAAGACCGTTAACGAGGAGTATGTGGAAAAACACCTCCAAAACAGCTCCTGAATTCAAAAGGCGAGGTTTCAGATCATATTGCCACTGACTCGAAGGACAATGATTATAATTTTTCTTCAAGTCCAAAAAAAAATCATCGTGGGAAGCGATGATATATATATATATATATATATATATATATCGCTTCCCACGTACTAAGTTTGTCACTTTCAGCTGTGTATGCAGCTTGCAAATTTTTTCTGTCCTTCATTGTGAATAGACTGGTGGCTACAATCACAGTGAAGTTGAGAAGTTCTTAAATAATACAAAAATACCCTCTTTTCGAACATTTCATGGGCATAGAAGATTATTTCAAACTTAGACCCCAGAGTCAGACCTTAGTGAGTGTGTTGGTGAGGTGGCAGGAGTCGGCCGCTCTGAACATGCAGGTGATCGAAAGCACTAACACTGTGGTCGGCACTGCCAGTGCCATGGGCAGTGCGAATCCCAGACGTTGCATCATTACCTGTAAGTCCTTATTCGAATTTTTACTTCACTGTGTACTTAACTTATTTACAAACAAGCGTATTCACTTTTATCGTGCTTCTTAAGCATTAGAGCTTCTTTATCGGGAAAAAATGCATACATTCTCATTTTTCATCTGCTAAAATCTTCATGAGTCAAAGAAACTATGGGAAAATAACAACTTAATTAAGTTTGTTTATAGTGCACTACATTCATTCCTTTACGTTTCGTCATAGTACTTACTTCGCTTACTACATTCATCCTCGTCGTCTTTAACCTCGTTTGCTGTCGAATGACCTAACTGATTAAGTCTCTATTGATACCTGCATAGCACCGAAGTTACCCATTGAGCACTGTTTACTTAGACTACGAGAACAGCATCAAATTTTCATGTGAGGACCTTCACTTCCAGTGCTTTGCCGAAATCTCACTCAGTAGCTCAGTGGGCGCTCATGTAGGACAGCAGAATGTTAATGAAGAGCTACAAGATGTTGATGTCGTGCTTATAAATCTACATCTGAGTTTGGTAATTTACAATCATGTGCTGCGATATTTACTAGGCAGTGTCAGAAAATTAATACGACATTCAACGCTTTTTCCTTTCCTTGATATTAACATTATTATTTTATTATATATATTTGTTCTAATAGGATTTAATTCATTAAAAGAGCAACACCATGTCGATTGATCAAGTCGGTCCACAGAGGCATTGCTTCTCACTTCCATAACTGTAGCCCGAAACAAAGAACTGCTCAAAATCCTGGCAAATGGTGAAGAACTCGCCGCGAAGGGAATTTTTTAGAAAACGGAAAGCATGGAAATCGGATGCTGCTTTTCTGCAAATGCAGTGTGGAACCAGTTCCCCGTCGTGCACATATTGCTGTTGAGGAGCCATGTAGAATCGAGCATTCTTATGGGGGAAACAAACATGGGGGTTTCAACAGTGTTACATTTGCACCTGTTGTTAATGTCGATGAGCAGAAACGCTAGCGCCTACTCGTCTGCCAGTAGAGATAGCCTGCAGTACAACATAGCCCCATTCGCCATCAGGTCTCTCAGTATCTTCTTCCTGGAGTGCAGCAGCGTAGACTACCACATAGACAAGAACTCGCTTCTCATCTCGCCTAATGTGTTTGCAGAATTCCTTTGCTTACTCTTCGATGTCGACAAGGGCTTACCGGAAGGATCTCTGCGGGCTTTGTGGTTCGTATGAAATCGTGCACGATTTCCGAGTAGGTCCATGTAATGAAGTAAAAGCACCTTTAAAAAAGAGGTAAATTACTTTGCCGGTAACTCATAGTTTAATAATTTATCGTGACCATAAATAACAAATGCTACCATATCAAACCAATATTTGATAGGATCCTGAAATTTCTTTATTCAGCAAGGAACTCAAAAGCAAACGAACATTGTTTTTCTGCTATAAGGGGTGTTTAATTCGCTACCGACAAGATTCCGACATTTCATTAAGAAACGAAAACTCGACCGTAAGTTTACCTTGCACGCGAACATGCTGCTCTGGTAGCAGAGGAAAACAGCAGACACCTGAACGACCATGATCCAGAGCGCGTCGTATGGCGAGGTGAATTGGTTTAGCTCGACATACGTCTCGTACACCTTAAGTCCACATTTTTTCAGTCTTTTTTAAAGTTCCTAGTTTACCAAGTAGGCTTAAAACCCATAAACACACGCAGAACTCCTATAAGTCTACCTCATTCTTCAGAAATTCCCGAATGTACTGAGTTCGTTACCGATTTCATTTGTGAAGAATGCTAGACATGTGAACTAGGTGGAAATTTTCAACTGTTCCATTACATTTAGAGGCTTTTTCCTCTGACCAAAATTTCACATAGCAGACCATTGGGACACTCACCTGTCTCGTCACCACATTTCAAGTAACCCTACTAAGACCATATTTTTAAAATGTGGACCTTTCTTTTGCTTTCTTAAATACTTGACTGCTCATCCAAGCACTACTGCATTCAATTCGTTTCTTCGCACCCACCATCCAAGAATATCTTAGAACGTTTTGTGTGTTAATACAACTTCTGGTTGAGAAATTTTGTCTTCGTTATTCATAATATAATAATATGCCTTCGAATGTCGTTGAATACTGGTTCACCTGATTCTCCCTGGAATCCCAGGTTAGCCATACTATGCTCTTACGTACACTGCAGAGAGAGGGCCGCTCGCAGACAGGTTTGGCAGCATTTTCTTGACCCGGTAAGGATGAGACTTAATAGCACTAATGACCCGAGGAAGGACGAACAAGTGCCTGGACTAGATGAGCGTTGGTCGTAGTAACCGGCACCACTAACATTGCGCTATCCTCTAGTTTCTAGCTTTAGTAGGTATGTAAGCTTTGCTTTCTCATTTACCACCAGAGACGAGAATATTTCGTAAATATTACTTACTAGGTAAGAAAGTCTTTGAAAAGTGGCAAGAACAAGAATTTATAGTTTTCCTATCAGTTGTGCATAGAAAATCCGGCAAAATAACAAGAAACAAGAGACAAACGATGATAGTGACAACGTCATTAGATAGCGCAACTGACATTGAAGGCAGACGGCAGCTCGTCGTCGTCGTCGTCCACCTGCCTCTTCAGCCGAACCACTCTTTGGTCATCAATGGCGAATTCTTCTGATCCCTGGAAAGTCATTCATGATATTAGTGCTACTTTATTCCAGTTTCGAAATATGTACGTTCATAGAAACTGAGCCTTGAGAAAATACTTTAGAAGGTGCTCTTACTATAGGTTTCTCAAGTATAATTTTTTCACCTTTAACAATTTCTATTCAAAATCGAAACTATACAACAAAGTAAGGCATCAGAAAGGAATAGAGCGATATAACATTCACTAAAAAAAATAAAATAAGAGAAAACCGGTAGAAGCAGTTAAATTGATTTAATCTTTTCCTCGATGAAATCGAAGGCAGAATCGAAGAATCGAAGTTTGCAGAATGCGATCTCATAGTGTGCTACTATCGATTTCAAGGCGACCAGGAATACTCACCTCCGTTACCATCCAAGTCTTCTTCACCGGCGGAACTGTTGTGGCTTCACCGTAATCTAAATTTATTACTGTCGTTAGTGTATATTTTCGGCTTCTTTTCTAATAAGCTTTGAGTCGCTGTTTTAGGTTCGGAAGGATAATCGCATATACCATTGTTCACTAAAACCATATTAAACAACGCTCCTAGCTCCCCTCGTGACCTTCAAATAAATTTCAAAAAGGAACGTCAATAAGCAACTTGACCACGTAGAAATGACTCTGAATGTCTGGTCATCTTCAATTTCAACTTGATTTCCCGCACGTGAAACCTAAGAATGAACGACAACTGCTGCACACATAACTATTTTTGTTGAGCCCAGAAATGGGTGACTTTCCCCTTAGTAATTCCAGCGTAAGAATGGTCGTGTAAACACAAAAGTCGTACTGATCATAGGTGAAGATATAACACAAACATTTTACCTACCGTCTCCACCGTATTTACTCATTCTGATGAGGAATTTGTCGATTTGTGATTTGTTGAGGTTGTGGCCGGTGATGGTGATGAGCTTCTCACCAAAAGGATCACGTTGAAGTAGATCGTCCAACCGCATTCTGAAATTCACAACTGCAGTAAGAAAATTCGGAAAGGATCAATTGGGTGCAGAAAGTTCGTGATTCAAACCAGCTTAACATTTTGACGTTGAAAAAACGATATAGTAGCAGTTTGTGTTCTAGACAAGCCAATACGAGTTGATTAATACAGCATTTGTTTCGTCGTAGATTTACACATCATAGTTCTTCAACTATTTCCCCCTTTTTAGAAGGAAGAAGGATCATATTAAGCGCAAATTTGAAACAATTTGAAATACTATAGAATACAGCATCCATTGAAACAGTAGTCATAACTTCGACTTCCACTAGGATTTATCTCATAGAGGGATCTCATGCGCTTAATCGCGAGGCAACGTAGAGCGAAACCAAGTGGCACAGGGTTGATCGCAGACCTAAAGCGACCTTATGCTTCCCTGAAACGTAAATGGATCTAGTGGATGGAGTCCCTGTTCCTGCTGCGTTCGAGTTAGCACATACCTTCTGCGTGTACAAGGAAGTATGTGTATCACGTATCACGCATGTATGAGTGGGTGAGTTCTCGTTTATGCAGATTGTTTTCTATGTGGCAATTCGAGCAAAGCCCACAATCAAGGTAGCAAGGAAGTATAGGAGAGGCGTTTAGGAATCACAATATGCAAACACGTAAGCTGCTCATCTACTCTGGGAGACTCTGGCACGCTACCCACGGGTATACATAATCCCCGTGTTAGTAGCTCACCAACCTATATGTGGGTATGAAACGCTGAACATAATGAAAAAAGTGGGCCTCGTATCCCTAATCCCAAATTGGCTCCCGAATTGGTAGTGTTGAGAAGGGTGAGAACAGAGAGGCTGCTAAAATCTCAAAGCCATCCTACACTTTCTAAATCGCAAACGATTAAGGTTACAATCTGTACTTACAATGTACGCACGCTTGCATCTGAGTCCTCGATAGAAGACTTGGTCACCCATGCAAGAATGATAAGGTACGACTTCAACGGACTGACCGAGACGAGACGACGCCACATTTAACGCCGTCAATTACACCGAAGAAGAACTGTTCCTCGAAACATGCGACAATAGAGGAGTCGATGGCTTCGGCGTTCTCGCCAACACGAGTTTGTCCACGAACATCGATTCGTTCGAACAACTAAGAACCCGAATCGAACGCTTACGGCTAAACAAATGTGCATCTATGCTAGATTTGAGAACCTTCGTTGTTTACGTACCGACATCAAACTATGACGAAGAAGAAGTCAAAGCGTTCTATGTGGATTTGGAAAAGTTTTACAGAGGACACCATACATTCTTCAGGTCAACATTGAACAATTTAACGGAAAGACTGTGCCCAGAAGAACGTCTGAAGGGCGTCACGTTGGGATCCACGGATTAGAACGGAACAAGAAGGGTGAGCGGTTGTCTGAGTTTATCATGGCGACCAAGACAATCCATGGTAACTCACAGTTCCAGAGGCCCCACTCCCAGCGCTGGACGTGGGAGTGGAGAGCACCACAACGAAATAGACCAGATCATAGTAAATAGAAGGTTTTGGCTAACCGATGTCGCTGTTGTCCCAAAATTCTACACAGGACCAGACCACTGTCTCCTTCGTGCAAGATTCTATTTCTCGCGGAGAAGAGAAAAAGCCGCTGAATTCAAAAAGCGGAGTTCAAAAACCTCCACGAACTGGGATTTATTCAATTTATTGATAGGCCGCTCAGAATAATGTCGACCAGGAATACAATCGGACCATTCAACATCTTCACGTTAGTGCTATGAAAGCTGAAAGTTCAAAATTCACCAAGAAACGTCTGACTCCAAAAATACTGCAGTTGATAGGTAAGCGTGGAATCTCACGAGCTACAAGCAACCGCCCGAACTTGCAAAACAATGCAGAGAGGATATAAAAGAAGTTCTTAAAGAGGAAGAGAGAATTTCAGCAGTTATCGTTGAAGCTGCTGAAGCTAGGAAAAGCATTCGCAAAACATACTGAAGCTTCGCCAATTACAAAACCAAGGTGACCGCACTCTGACGTCCAGATGAAACAGTTACGGCAACCAGAAAGGCAATGGAGAAAATCATTTACGATTACTGCTCAGATGTGTTCAATAACCACGTTCTCCTGCCCTCATATGAAATAAAGGAGGGTGGATATGGCGTACTACCGGTTCTCCTTTCCCCAATCCGACATTCGTCAATGAAGAATCGAATAATACCAGGTCCAGCTGGATAGGATAAGATTTAAACCGCTGAAGAAACTTCCGCTAGCCCTCAAAACACTGGCTCAGCTCTTCACACGCTAACTGTCATAATGGAAGGCTCGTAGTTAGTGGAAGGCCAGCATGACCGTGCTAATGTTCAAGAAGGGTGACCTCTACGATATCGGCAACTATTGCCCGATCTGCTTACTGTCTACAAACTTTTCAGTCAAGTCTTCTTAAAGAGGATTGACAGGACACTGGACGAAGGACACCCATGTGAGCAAGTACGGTTTCCAAAAGGATTCAGTACGGTGCGCAAAATTCACATGACAACAAGACTCAATGAAGTATCGCGAGAGTACAAAAGACCCCCCTGTCTCACTTTCACCGATTTACAGAAGGCCTTTGATTCAGTTGAGGTAGAAGCAGTCTCTGAAGCCCTTGGTGGTCAAGGAGTCTCTATTCAGTACATAAAGATTCTTCGTGAGCTGTACAAAAATTTCACAACCAAGATATCACCATTCTACAACGGCATTAACGTCTACGTGAAAGAGGGGTTAGGTAAGGCGAAACCATCTCGACAAAACTATTCATTGACATTTTCAAGAACGTCTTGCGAACACTGAAATGGAAGAAAATGGGGCAAAAATCGATAGTCGGTAATTAGAACACCTTCACCTCACAGATGGCATCATTCACCGAACATTAGTCAGGTGAAACGAATGCTTGCCGACTGTGATAACCGCTGTGTAGAAAGACTGGTCTTCGAGTAAATCTCACAAAGCCATATCCATTTTGAACGGGTTCATTTCTTTTGTTCTATTCACGCACATTGGAACGGATCTCTCTGAATTCTCCAATTACGTCTATTTACTTCAGGAAATCAGCATAATGAGCGACTTGCCTCCAGAGTTGAGGATGAGGAGGTGGGCTGCTTGGGGAACTTTCAAGATCATGGCGGATGCTCAAACGTCCTGCAGGAAGAACACGAATCCGATAGTCAGAGATCTTTATGAGAACCATAGAAGAATTATATGGGGCTCGACGAGTCGCTAGAGCGAGCAGAACCCATTGGCCTACTCTTACTTGCGACACGGAGAAATAGAAGGCTTACTGGCGCCTGCTCGAGTCACTTGGCGTTCGACAAGATGATAAGTGGTAAAGGTAAATTATAATTTTGGATTTTCTACCTCACAAACAGTCTACGTTCATTGCTAAAGTTGATATGTGGATAAGGGATCGAATTTCTCTCTCAAATGATCCATTTCAGTGTCTAAGATCGCTGGTGGTACGGTATGGATTTTGACGAATTTCGCTAAATGCTAAGGCTTTATATAATTTCACACTCACCGTGAAGTCGTGAAGACAGTCATACATAGGAGGTAAACGCAGATTTTCCACAACGAGACAATTACGTACGTCTTGGATCTCCTTTCAGAAAGTCGAGAAGCAAATCTGCAATTAGTGTAAAAAAGATCTTTAATAGATAAGTATGTTGAACTCGGAAATAAACTCGCCTATGATCTTGCACTATTCTATGACATATTCTGCTGCAATTTTTCTTATACCCAGATGCTAACAAAAGTGGAGAACTTCTCGATACAAAGCAAAGGTAGGGGTGTGCAGTTTCTGGCGTCTTTTTGATTTTTCCATAGCTGAGCACATTTTACAGTAACTTTATGGTCAATATAATCATACGAATACTGAGAAATAAACGAAATTCGGATCCTCAGTTGTGCTTCGAACTCACGATTACACTTAGCTAGGCCTCACGTGCTATCCAGCACACCAACCGAGGACTTCGCTCCTACTTTCGCTCAATGATACTTTACTTCTCGAAAGAGTAATCGTGGATTCGGAGCCCAGCTGAGGTTCCTAGTTTTGCCCATATCTCAACATCTCTATAGTTGTATTTCACATCATACGCTACCACAGAAAAAAGAAAAAGCGCAAAATGGAAATTTATCTTTATGGTCGATTTTTGAATTTTCTGCTCAACCATTGTATAGGAATATATAGATGCTCTATGGCACAAACTGTTATCTTGGACTAGAGAGCCGAAATTCCTAAAATGTGCATAAAAGGTGAATAAGGGGAATGTTTTTATACCTGGCCATGGCTTGAACCGCTGCAAATGCGGAGTCGACGTGGACGAAGTTCTGCCACCATGGTAACGAAATGACCATTAGACACCAAGTTATTGCAACCGAGTGCTTCTGCAGAATTGAAGGGTAAACCTGCAATATGCTCGGCTTCCCTCTCAAGGTGTTTGAATAGTGCTAAGCTATTGAGCTATCACAAATATGTAAACGCACTGCTTGAATGCCGACAAGAAATCTGTGTAGAAAATCGAGCTATAGAAATTGGAAAAAATTCGCTTTGTTATTCTACGTGAAAATGGTAAGCGTTAGCAAATCAAAAGTCCATCGTACTGAATTTCTTATCCATAAGCAACAATAAGCCACAAAATGTTTCAAGAGGAAGCTCACAAACCGGAAACACCCAGAATCCAGAACTCTGGGCGATCAGGGCAAGCACGTCGATGGCGATGAGCACGAAGGCGACGCGGCATGGCCGGCGACTTAACAGTGACAACAAGGCTGGGACAAAACCTATTGCACTTGTCAACTGCGTTGCTGAAGTCGGTGTTTTTCATGGAGATATCAGTGCTTTGTACAAAAGAGAAAGCAAGAAAGATGTTTTTTCGAAATCGGAAGTGCCAATTACCTGATATGGCATCCAAATCGGGAAGGATTTGAAACACGAGCACTCCAACTCCTATCCCATGCAATGTTTCGACGAACAGCACCTGAGAACTAGGCCAACTCACCACAGTGAAAGTTATCGTCCATGATAATTCAAACCAATCTCTTTTCATAGTTTCGGAATATATTGTTTTATTGAATGAACAGGTTGTATTTTTTCTAATTTTATAACTAGACACAACATGTAGTGTGAATTCCATCACTTTTTTTCATTCAATTCGCTATTTCGCGTACACCATGTACGAATTTCTTTAGACTTATGTGCGGGTATGGCTGCTAGGACTTGTATTTATTGTACAAAAGCGAAAGCAAGAAGGTCTTGCAAGCAAGAAGAGCAAGCGAGAAAGAGCTCTTTCCGATGAATGTCTCCGAAGCATTCGTGCTGTTCAAATAGATTCTCCATAGAGTCCTGAGATAGCTCTACTAATAGTGTTCTCAGGTCCTCACCACAAGTAGTCACCGGTTTTTCTGGATCAGAGGGAGCATTCCAGAGAGGAAGTCTATCTGGCACCAATATTTCCATCTTATTGAGGTGGAAGTCTTGGTTGGTTCAGCTGAGGTTGTGAAAGCGACCACGGCATCTCTACCCATAGGGCATCCCACCATCGTTGAGTCATGTATAGCAACTAAAAAGTAACCAACTAAATTTGATCACACAAACCCAGTAGGTGAATAAACAATTAGGTTAAAAAATCCAAATGTGATTTCCTTTTATTAGGTCAAAGACCAACCACAGAAATCCGAGAGAGGCTCTGCACGGTACAATACCCTTACCACATGTGGGATATCGGTGTCATTTTTCAACAAATTACTTTTCGGAATAAGAAGTTGACGGTGTTTTTCTTCACTCTACTCTCAGCACATATTTTGAAAGAAAAGTTATAAAAATTCGGTACCGTAATTGGAAGAGAACAATATGTTGCAAGTGAATAAAAGTGAATAATGATACTTACGATGACGAACTGCGTAAGAGTAGGGCGCTTTACGTTTTTGAAGAGGGTCCGATGAAGCGACCGGAAGAAGCAGAACGCCTCGGGAGCCGAGAGTGCGAAAAACGTAGCCCAAACCCACTTGGCGACCAACCTATTCGTAATGTGCACCGTATTCCATTGCGATTCTGAAGAAACCATTCGACTATCTTTACCTTTTTATTTGCTGCCTACTTTAAATTTTTAACGACAGGGTATCATGTGAAATGCGACTAAGATGTTGCTGAGATATTTGCAAAACTCCTGACCGCAGGTGTCTGCGGTGAAGAACGAACGCACTATTGTCCTTTCCGGGGAATAACGCGCTCACCACCATACCATGCGGGTTCTTTGTTTCGCTTTTTCGCTTGTCTTTCAGTTAGTTCTATCGATCTCTGCCATCAGCAATCACCCGTTAACGGGATTGTTCTGAAGAACCCAAAGCGGCATTGAACCCAGTTAAACTGAGGCTGAAGTCGAAATCACAATCTTAACCTTTTCATTTGCTGCCTACTTTAATTTATGATTACAGTGCATTATGTGAAATACAACTAAAATGATGCTGAGATATTTACAAAAAGATCCGCATGGTGTGGTGGGGAGCGCGTTACTCCCAGAAAGGACAATAGCGCGTTCGTTCCCCACAGCAGACACTTGCGCTCCTGAGTTTTGCAAATATCTCAACATCATCTTAGTTGTATTTTACATTCGACTATCCTTCCTCCTTTTTAGACCGACAGCCTGTCATTGTGTTCGTTTGATTGACGATTAGTCAGATTTAGAAATAATAATTTTTCAGGAACCTTTAAAAAAATCAGGTCCATCTACATAGGCACTATCATTTAGCAGTGGTTCAGTGTTGTTTGTCAAAGAATAATGGAAGATAGACTGCAAAGATCTAGAGAGTTTCTTATTTCTTTCTAGAATTTTGCATAATCCGGCAGCACATATTATGCGGACACCAGTATTTCCTTCATTCGATTCGTTTCCTTCCACCATTCAAAAAGTATTTTCGTGTAAATGTGGCTGCTACTTTATGGTTGCAGTCTCCTCTACTGTGAATTGGAGATGCTCATCAAATGGGATAAGTACAGCCTGGAAGGGCGGACAGCCGTTTGGGGTGAGCCGCTCTAAATCATGTCTTCGCATGTATTACTGAACTTATCTCTCTCTACCAATGCACCATCCGTGTTCCTGGGCTGGTGAAGAGATTTTCGATTTTCTAATATCTCGAAAACAGAGACCTCAATTCAATTACTAGCTAGTCGAATGTTCAAGGTTGCGTTGGTCTTTTAATTGACTATCATTCTACACCTGTGCTTAAGGCACATTTCGGTTGTCTACTACTCAGCTAGTCCCGTTAACTGATTTGTTACAAACTGTTTGTCGTGTGCGCAACCGTAAGCTTTAGTATACACTGAGAGTAATACAATCCTCTAATTCTCGCCTTCAAAGCAGATAGTGTGTCATAATATGGACAGAGAAAGCCAACTTTTCCAATTTTTTCTTCATGTAATCGATTCATAAATTCATAAACTTCTTCTTCATGCTTCTTATCACCTGGAATTTTGTCACGACAAATCGTCATGTTCATGCCACCCCATCCGATCGCCGACGTCATCAAAAAGAATAAGCTCTGGAAAATTCCTCAGTCAATTATAAATCCAAGGCAAAAGACATGGTTTACCTTTGCAACAACTGCAGAGCCCAATGTGAGTAGAAATAGTACAACGAATGTACAGAGTTTGAGTACCTGTAGACTGGCATCGTGCCAGAATCCTGAATTGAAGGCCGACTATGATGAAAGTCGAATTTATAAACTTTAAAATGATAGTGAGAATATGCTTTGACAACACCATAAAACTTTCCCATAGTCCGAAAGTCTTTATGAATTCGGAAAATCCAATTTCTAAATGCACCACCAGCTCTTTGCGTATAGTAAATTCTTGAGAACTTGGCATTTTTGAGATTTCTCTCCATAAGAAGAAAATTTTCTGCAGAGTTGGCTTAGTACTAATCGGTTTACATTGCTGTTGTTCTTCTTCGTGATAACTGAAAGACATCTCGTAATTTTTCAAGTCAGATTATCCATTATTTTCACATCCGTATCGAAACTTGAAGTTCCCATCGCATAATCGACACTGACGCAGCACAAAAGGAGAAGGGTACTAGATAATACGACCCCTCATGTAGAAAACGAGACGTAATGACTTTAAATATAAGTTTCATGCAAAAAGTTGAACTTTGAGTTGAATTATCTACCTCAACAGCTCAGTTGCGTTACGTCTTGACTACGATCATGGGTGATTGCCCCCTCAAGAGCACCTTGCGTCGTGTCATTGGGTTTAATACTATCGAAACCTGTGGCCATCAACCGGAAACCGCCAACTAGTCTCGATCAGAATCTACATAACGCTGTCCAGCTACTGAAAGGGAATGTCTTTTTTCGAGTGGATGACTCGATCGCGAAATGTCAATAATCTCAACTGACGGCTTCCACGATCAATGCAAATTTGGTAGCAGCACCCTGCATTGCTCCTTGATAGGCACGTGAAACGTCTTTGATATAGAAAAAACAATTCAATAAAAACTGAGAAACGACTCAAATAATCTACCACAGTATTCCAAAAAAGCGAGAATAAAGCTGAATTACCGTAACCGATTTTGTCCGGTTTCGGTGGCAGCAGACGGAAGATATCCCATGCCTTCTGATCAACGACATTCCTAAATGATCATTTGTTTCTGTCCATATCAGATTTGCCAAAGGTATTTGAATAAAGTTATAGAACGAGCAACATCACTGGTGGCTCATGTAGAGAATCACTGTTCGGTGTAGCCTAATCCCCTGAGACAACAGTGCTGCGAGCACAACGACACACAAAAACCGTGAAATGTATTCAACGGTTGTGAATACCCTTAACCAGCACACCTAGCGGTTAAGGAAAAATTCTTCAGTGAAGTCTGCCACTCAAACGGTCTGTGCTTCTTGGACGTGAAATCCCTAGACTCACTAAGCCGCCCTTATTATTGAAATGATAGATATAGGATAATATAAGTCACGAAATTCTAAACGTTGAGTGAAACGTAAAGCAAGTATCTCGGTTTGTGGTGAATAGTGTGTGACATCCCACAAAGGGTAATCGTGGGTTCGAAGCCCAACAGAGAGCCTGAGTTTCGTTGATATCTCATCATCCTTGTGGTTGTATTTCACATAATACTCTGCCGTAAAAGAAGAATAGACAGCTAATAAAAGTTAAGTATTCCGAAAGTTGTCTAAAAAGGTATTATATAGAACCATATAGTTGTAGATTTCAAAGGAACAAATTGAAATCGATCTATACTTTTCTGCATTCCTGTTCTTAATCATGCTTTGACAATTTGTTTCTTTGCCTTTGGAATAAGAGGTACCTGGAGGTAATTAAAATATCTCCCCATTCCAAAAAAAGTAAAATTTACCAAGGCTATTGTTAAAATTGAGATCGAATCGAAAATGCAAGAAACGGGAAAAGAAGGCAATAGAATATGAATAAAAGTGGCAAAAATGGCAGAAGAATTACAACATACGAGTGTTCGGTTCCTGAGTATTTTGCCTGATCCTGCAGCTCTGAGTCTTGAACAGAATTCCTGAGATGGTCCGCGAGCTTTCCTACATCCAGTGGCCGGAACTGGTGATTTCCTTCCGTGATGTAATAATAATCGTTTCCTTTCGAAAATGATTCAGTCGCAGTTATCTCCATCCAAGAAATCGAGAAGTGTATAGGTCTGGATTAATCGGTTCGCATTCCTTTGGGAAAATTACGAGATTAGGTCTAGAGCATGTAGTAACGAGTCGTCAGTTTAATTAGTAAGATTCACTTTCTCTGGAATGGTGAAGCTGACCGCCAGATTATTGGTTGGTTAAACGAGAGAGGCAGTTCAAGTGCCCGACAGTGGGCGTGCTCAATTCCATTGTGTCGTAACAAGCTCTTTCGGACTTTTCCAAAATGAAAAATTTAGCCACGAGCAGGCATCGAAGCAGGTTCTACACGGGACATGAAGGAACCAAATTCGAGGTAAGAAAGAGTTTGAAGAAAGTCAAATATTTATTATTTTCTGAAATGCGTCATGGTTCTGGCTAATGAAAAAACAACAAATTTCAGTATGTCTACCAGAAAGTCGTAGCGAGACTACCTTTCCTGTGAGAAACTCTGCAGAGATAATTACGTTGGAAAACTGTCACTTATATAGTCATATTAACTGGATTTTTCCACAACTTAAATAATCAAGGTTAAGAACAGTTAAGCTTAACTTTCTTTAACAAAAGCATTGCATTTCTCGCTACGCTTAATTATACAGAAGATTCAATGCACCACTGACATATTGTTTTGCACTTCACCATAAGGACGCGTGTGGCGCAGTGGTCGGAGGCGCCCTGCAGCACACACGTGGAATCGATCCTGGCGCCCATGGCCCACCAAGCCCTCCATCCCTCCGGGGTCGGAGTTCAATTGCTTCACCCTTTGAAATATGAGCCTTGAATCAACGAGGTGGAAGAAATATGTGTCACGCTATCCACAAAATCACAGTTTAATATTGGCAGAATAAAATCACTTGGACCTTAGAAGCAAAAAATTGTAGGCCCTAGTATTTTTATTCCAACAAATAAGTTGTGTTAGTTTAGAATTTAATGCGGCCCGTACTCTGGCGAACACGCATTAAATCCAATGCAACTCGGACGTTACTTGTAAAAGGAGTCAAACAATTGTAACGATATCTACAAAACCCATGGAGAGTGGTGGAATGAAAGAAGAAAAGGGTTTTCTTCCCGAAATCGAGATGAACCTCTCATTTCGCAACAGCTGATTCAGTAATATATTGATAAACAGCTATTTTTTTGTCGTAACAGAAGCCAATTAATACTTGGATAACCACAACGTTGCTGAGATAATTGCAAAACTCTGGACCGCAGGTGTCTATGGTGGGGAACGAACGCGCTATTGTCCTTTTCGGGGAGTAACGCGTTCACCACCACACCATGCGGGTCCTTCGTTTCGCCTGTCTCTCAGCAATCCCGTTGACGGGTGATTGCTGATGGAATCGATCGATAGAACTAGCTAGACACTCCCCGGAAAGGACAATAGCGCGTTCGTTTCCCACCATAGACACCTGCGGTCCAGAGTTTTGCAAATATCTCAGCAACGTTGTGGTTGTATTTCGCTTAGTACCCTGCCGCGAAATTATAGTAGGCAGAAAATAAAAAGGCATAACATTGTAATACTTGGATAGTTACTTGGACAGCCCACACCCTAACTGGTTGTGTGTGCCCCAGCATAATCTCCATTTTTTGGAGTTTTACTAGTTTATCCGATGCGTTTCTTTGTAGTCCTCAGGTCAACTTGGCCAAAGTCTGCCCCATGTCGCCACCACCACAGGCAGTCCCGCTCATGTGGATCAGGGCAAGATTTACCACTATGCGATTAGTTTGATACAAGAACGATAGCACATCCTGGTAATGGCTTACTCTTAGCTGGGCTTGCTGATGAAGTCGCCGGACTCCTTCTCAGCTTGAGAGACTCTGCTGAAGGGATGGATGCTCCTGCTGTACAATCGCAGCCCGACACCCAGGAACAATCTCAGCCACCACGATGCGGTAAACCGTTGGGAAGAGTCAGTTAATAACTAAAACATTACTGAAAATCGCGCACTTTTTGATTAATTTTGTTAAAAATACCGAGCACCTGTCTCTTCAGGAATCACATTTGATCGCCAAGTATTGTAAGTTTCATTCGAATTAGAAAATACATAGTTTCCTAGTTTACTCTATTTTTATCTTATTTTGTACTATCCATCTTTCATATCTATCGTGCGGTTTCCAGGACTTCTCGCATTTTGTTCGTTTCCTCGCATACATCATCCACGAAGCTTTTCCGTGTTTTTACATGTGACTACGGCTGTTGCTAGAGGATTTTCCTTTCTTGAACAATAGTTGAGTTGATTCACCCCGGAGTCCTAAGACAACCGGGATAGAACGTTCCCACTTAGACTGCAGAGAGTGCAGTTTTCTTAGAGAAGTCCAGCGCCAATTCTCCTACCCCGGAGGGATGAAACGCTGTGAGTCGGGAACAGGGTCGAACCAGCACCGTGCTCGTGACGATCAGCATCATAACCACTGTGCTATTCGCCTCTCATGGTTTTTTTTGACAATTTATAAGCAGCAGATCTTGAAAAGTTATACCATAAAGAGAGACTATACCATAGCCATTAGTAGTGGACCCCACTCACCTATCTGCGGTAATCAGCACTGAAGGAACGCCATGGTCGCCAGGTCCCGTCATTCGACCAGCAAGCGCACCAGAGTGTCTTAAGTTGATAAAGCTACTATGATTGGAAAATAAGTCTGCACAACAAATCAAAAAAGGATGGTTGAATACGCTCTGGAGAAATGAACAGAAAGTTGAGCCATGTCGAAGTTGTTAAGAATGGTGTGAATAACGTTGTTCCTGTAATGGAGAAGACTGAGAAAATGACCGGCCTGCTCGACCTCTCCGTGCCTTTTCTGGTGACATCCTGAAAAACCTGAATGATGTTTGTGTTCACCATCGAACATTAACTTACATATTTACACTTGTGCGTCCTACACAACTTTCCGTCACAGAACTAGTCCTAAATACTGAGCTGCACTAGCATGACATCGAAAAGCTCACACCCGATAACTCATTGTCATGTGAAGTTTACACTCTTTTCTGGCGTTCTTCATTCATCAACGGAAGAAACCGCCCTGTATGCGCCTATCAGGTTCGAATCATAGCACAGATGATCTCTTGGCTCACTATGAACGCCGTAAGATGCTAAATTAATTCTATCGTTTGTTGTAGGCTTGGCTTCTAATTCTTAGTGGAATATTGCGGGGTAAATAGTGTTTAAAGACGTATTATTTTAAAAAAATCTGTTTTTCCTGAATACCTTCCAACATCACAATAGCGTTTTGCTAACCAAATGATCCCATTGCGAGAGGGGTTGACCGAATAAAAGTGAACTAATGATTACAACTGATGAATTAAAATTAGGATGTTAGTTACGAGGAACATTTGGAGAAACAAGTTACTTCTGTTTAACGTTTTGTTTTCTGCCTTCTATAATTTTCATGGCAGGTTACTAAGCGAAATACAACCACAACGTTGCTGAGATATTTGCAAAACTCAAGTTACTTCTGTCGTGCAATCTAGCCTGCCGCCTAGACTATGCTGGTTCACCTAATTAAGACTGTTTAACCAGCTTTAAATAATTGAACACTGAAAGAGCTGACTGTCTTATTTCAAATTCAGAACATATCCAAAAAAGGTGATGTAGCGCCACTTTCAAGGGAGAGGCCTACTCGTACGACGGCAGCCCGTCCTACGTTCCACAAGGGCGAGAAATTGTCTGTTCTGACAAAATGAGAATTCCATAGAAAGCTTATCTTAAGACTATTCAATAAGCAAAGTACAATTCTAACAGAGTATTCAATAGCATAAAGTAATCGACCTAATTAACTTATTTAAGTATTACTCCTTATTTTTCCTCACAGAGCGCTTTAGCAGTGGTTAGTGCGATACTGGTTCACTGGTCCGATCCCGCAGCTCGACTTCACAGCCTTCCGTCTTTCCAGAGTAGGCCGACTGCTACTGGACTTCTCTGGAAGGTAGGAGAACCTGCTTGATACATCACTATGCCACCGCAACTCTTTGTACAGGCCTGACATGCACTCAATCACCCCTAACTATGGTTGATGAAGTCAAATGCATCACGTGTTGCTAAAATATTGATGAACGTCGAACGCATTATCCTTTTATCCTAAGCACTGGAATATTTCTACTTAGGACCCTAAAGAAGACCTAGGAACACGGAACCAGTTGAGAGTGATCGTGCATGTGGTCGAAGCGACCTCCAAAATTACTCGCGAGTCTACGGAAGAAACATTGCTGACCATTTTGTCATTTGTAAAGCATAGGAAAGGTGGAAAAGTTCGATAAATTGCGCAGAATGAATTTGTAAAATATCAGAACAAAAAAAAAGAAAAGCAGAACAAAACATAATTGTAGGACAAAAGCGACCCGCTTCTACACCATATTCCAGCATTCGATGGAGTCTGAACCCTACACGGTAATTGAAGCCATTCAACGTAATGGTTGTACCGAGATAAAGCTCCCGATTTTATCTTTTTTCTTACATTGCCCATCATCAAGTCTACTGGGCCAAACCCAACGGTTTTTGCTCTCGATGCGTCTCTTCCTGTCCACCATTCACGGAGGTCTTCGAACACTTTTGCACGAGTTCTGGGGTGTAGGCCGTGTGCAGACACGTCCGGTAGATATTTCTCGGGTCCAGAGCGACAACTAGGTTGACGGGCCCTGGATGGGGTCGAACCAGCATCATACTCGTGGTGTACGACACCAATACCACTGCGCTAACCTCACGCTAAAGTTCGCGAGGGCCTCATAAGAATGATATTCCAGAAAAGCTCATCCACTACGACTTTCGATATCCTGACAAGTAGAACAAGAAAAACATAAAAGTACCGTCGTGTGGTGCATCGAATCCATCAAATGAAGAACTGGCGCAGGAGAAATTGTGCGATTGGGCTACGAAATCCTCCGTCACTCAGCGTGATCTTATAAACTCTCGCCGGTCGATCACCTTTTACGTAATTCCACAACTTCGTACTGAGAAAATCTTCAGCAAACATACCGCTATTGGAAAGGCAGTCAACGAACTAGTCGCTTTTAGAATTCCTACATTATAGCCTACTGATGAAACAAACTTGTACCCTGTTGAGCTTTTGTATTTGTACAAATCCTATTTTCCATTCCCTCCTAACGGTTCACCGCCTTATCGTGGCTGGGAGGTTTTCCTGGGTGTCGGACTGCGATGTACAGTGGGTGGATTCGTCTCCCCGACAGGGTCTCCCAAACTGGGAAGGAGTCCGGCGTCCCCATCAGGAAGCCTAGCTAAGAGTAAACCAATGCCAGGATCCACCACCATCTTGGTATCAAAGTCACATGGTGGTAAATCTCCCTCTGATCCACAAGGGCTGCGATTGCCTGTCGTGGTGACGACCTGGGGCAGACTTTGGCCAGGCTGTCCTCGGGATTCCAGGGAACCCCAATGGCTTAACCAGCAAATCTCCGAAAAATGGTGACTATGCTGGGTCCGCACAACTAGTGATGACGGGCCGTTCAAGCATCAACTAAGCAAGTAAGTCTCCAGTATTGGTGTGCGATTGTGCGCTTCGGAAGAACTCATCCCTTTGCTTACAATAACCAGTGTTTACAATGATTTATTTCGCAGTTTCTCCACTGGTCCCACATTTACACATTTCCATGAGTTATCAAGGACTCATTGTTTTGATCCGAAGTGGAATGATAATCGGTTGCTGACTGAAAACTGAACACTCTGTGCTTTACATAATGAATTGTGTAGTTTCTCTATCGCTGATATAGTATACGATGCTATTTTTCTTGCAACTGCCAGTGCTTTTTTCTTTATTGATTGGAAATTTGAGAAGTTGAGGGCTTAACACACTTGTAGACAATGGTTGTTGTGTTCTAACACTTACTATTTATAGTTGAATTCACAGTGTTACTTTTCATTCACGCTCGCACTCAAGGCTCATGAAGCTCTGCATCCCTCCGGGGTCGGCAAATTGACACCAGACCTGTCTGGGAGGAGCGCGGCACTGGCTGGATACAGCGGTGGCACACCGCGAATCATTGTAAAGGTCAGATATGCACTCACTCACCTCCAACGATGCTTAATGAAGTGGAATGCTGCATGGCGCATATCTCAGCGATTCATCGACGCCGAGAACCTTATCCTTTTATCCTTTTGTTTTTCGAAGTATCGTATTTTAGGTCGTATCGCTGCAAAATTAACTCGTCCGAAGGGGTGTTTCTGTAAATTATTAAGCGCAGAGTATGACTTTTCTAGCCTCACTCCATTGTTTTGATCTGCTTTCGACTGGCTATCAAATTAATACACTTAGGGCGATGAGAAAAACTCTGGAAGCCACTAATGCGAACATGGACAGGATGCTGTCCACACGGTCATTTGGTCCAAGTCGCTACGGACACAGTGCTCTGTCTATACGGGCTGAACAGGTATGTTTGCTAATTCGTGACGTGCAACGTCCGCAACTACACAAGCGAACGAGCTGCGGTGTCTTTTTCCTGGTGGACAGTTTTCTTGCTCGGCAATCCGCCATCTCTCCGATCGAATGTTCTGTGTGGACTTCGCTTTTCGGCAGCAGAAATCAACTTTGAAAAGGCCATCTAATAGGTGTTAGAAGCATAGCTGTTCAGTTTTTGCACTTCGTGATGTAAAAATTTGCTTTAATTTGAAAGGGAAATAGTTGATTATTTGCACATCACTTTTTCTCTGTACATCAACTCTTTACATATTCTATTTTTATTGGTCCTCCCAACGATTTACCGCCTCATCGTGGCTGGGAGATGTTTCTGGATGTCGGGCTGCGATGTACAACGGGGAGATTCTTCTCCACGGCTGGTCCCAAGCTGAGAGAGAGAGTCCGGCGTTTCCACCAGGAAGCCCAGCTAAAAGTAAACCAACACCAGGATCGATCACCGTCCTAGTATCAAACTAGCACATGGTGACAAATCTCCCTCTGATTCACAAGGGCGGCGACTGCCTCCGATGGTGACGACCTGGAGCAGACTTTGGCTAGGTTAACCTTGGGACTCCAGGGGAACACTGTGGCTAAACCAGCGAAACTCGTAGAAATAGAGGTTATGCTGGGGCCCACGCAACCAGTGAGGACAGGCCACTCAAGTTTCCAAACATTTTTATCGGTTAATGGTGCTTCTGCACTCCGTTGCAATCCGTAGCTGTTTTTTACACGTCATACGTTAGTAGAACACCACTTTAGTTCCGTACTGTCGTCGTCTGCTTCATCTCTTCTTCTCCTCCGTCCTTACCGGTATTTCCGTCTTGAACCGAAACTTGGAGCAAATGCTCCTCAATGGTGTTTAGCTGTTCTTCTGTAATCAGTGAAACTATAGCTTTCTAGAAGCAAATTTATGCCTGAGGAGCGCTCAAAGAAATACCTGCCATCGTTTTGGAATGACGATGCTGCTATGCAGGGTTATATGAGCGTTATAAAGGTATGTTTAGTTCCAATGTTAGGGGTGGATGTTATGTATTGTTGTAGAACAACGTCATTTTAGGCGCGAGCCGTGAACCCTGTGGATTACGATCGGAAGATAAAGTTCTGGACGAATCTGATCTCGTCGTCTTGTGAGGTGGAAGGCAATGCTATCGTCAGTGCTGACATACTCAAGCGACGTTTTAGACGTGGTGATCAAATACCATCCAGTATACCAGCAGTTGTAGAACACTTACACAAGCAAGTTCTTTTAATTTGTATCGTAGATTTGTCTGAACGTTTTGTAGGTTTCATTGAGAGCATGGAATAGCGTATGATATGAATACTAGCTAAGGGAATGGTTTTAGCGTTTCCAAGATGGCGTTTCCAAGTCTTAGGCCATCGGAAAGCTTGTTTTCATTGTGCACAGTTGGACGTCCACAATTCGGGTACGACTGAGTACTTTCGTGCAAAGTGACGGGAATCAACACATTTTTGCCGACATGTGTGAAAGTCAGATGTTCTAAAGTGGATGAGAATGTTGCCCTTTTATTTTCTGCCTGCTATGATTTTTTTTTTGACGGCAATGTATAATGTGGATTACAACCATAACCATGCTGAGATACTCGCAAAACCTGGACTGCAGGCCGGACCGGATCGCGATTTCCCCTTTTTTTTCTCAGCTTTATTGGTTTGAACACCGATTTATGCTCCCCAGATGAATGCCGGTGACGGATGATTGCCGATGGCAGCGTTAGGTAGAATACTAGCTGAGAGAATCGCAAAGCAAGGGCCTCTGTGGTGCATGGTGTAATGCGCAAGCTCCCAGAAAGGGAAATCTTGGTTCGATCTGGCCCGGGCTCCAAGTTTTGCGAATGTCTCAGCATCGTTGTGGGTGGGAATATTAAGGGCCTTTTTGAGAGCGTATTCGTTTCTGAGCAAGCCAATTTTTCGATGATTGACGATGATTTCGCGCCCACCAGAGTATGTGAGGAATCGGTAACTTCACAGAGTAGTCTATCATGATTGATGTTGTAGCTCAGTCATTCCTTAAATGGAATGACTTCTTTTTCACGCTTAGTATGCTCAAATACGGGAGGACTTGAAACACACACATATTCGGATCTTTAGGACACTGCCAGGAATCGCCTTCGATTTTTACCTTTAAGATTTCTTGAACCATTGGTCTCCAGCTTTATGTTCATTTTTTCCGAAAGTGTTCCGACATTTAAAATTCATAACCTATGAAACCGTCTTCGGACATTTCTATCAGATGCCATGCTATCTGCCCATGATTCTTCCGCATTTACGGATGCTTTTACCACCTTAGGAGTGGATTTGAACTGGTTGAGTAGAACTGTTCGAATGCCAATTTTGTCTATGCTCAATAGAAGCGCTTTCTAAGTGTAACGAAATAATTGCTGATGGCAGCGTTTGGCAGAAAACTAGCTGAGAGAAACGCAAAGCAAGAGATACCGTGGTGTAGTGTGTAATATGCTAGTACCTGGAAAAGGTAATCGTGATTCGTCCTGACCAGAGGTCTAAGTTTTGTGAATCACTCAGCATCGTTGTGGTTGCTTTCCACATCATACCCTGCCGTGAAAAATTGTAGTAGGCAGCAAATAAAAGGTTACTATCTCGAAAAGGTTGTAATTTGTTGGGCACATTATAGTTTAAATTATGCGACAATGTGGTAGTGGACGTATGTTTTAATGAGTGAGTTTGCAGCCATAAAAGTTATGCAATCGACTGCCCTTTTTTAAAAATGTTTTGGAATAGATGACGAGGATCACTATATTTTCCGGATAAACTAGTGTAATACTCCGCAGTGTAAGGTCTTCTATCAAGGCGAACTTTGCACTCTGATGTATGCTCGGAGTTTTAGCCTTTTATTTGTTGCATGCTATAATTTTTCATGGCAGCGTATGATGTGGAATGCAACCACAACGATGCTAAGATATTCACAAAACTTGTACCCCAGGCCAGATCGAACAACGGTGGGTAGAGGCCTCATTGGTGCAGTGTGTAATACACGAGCTCCCAGAATGGGTAAGTGATTCGATTTGATTCAGGGTCCAAGTTTTACGATTATCTCAGCATCGTTGTGGTTGCATGTTCGGAGTTTTAGCAGTACGAATGGATCAAAATCTTTCTGGAGATGCATTTGGAATCCTGTGTCGCATTCTTTGTTAGCCTTTAAGTGCCCATTGTGAATAGCACGGCTCCATGTTTAGAATTACTTCCAATTCCTCATTATGAACGCTTGAATCGAATTCGCATCTACTTGTGATCTCGCAGTGAATGCTGTTTGATGCACACTCTTCAAGACGAAATCACGTCAGTTTCAGCTGCTTCGCAAGTATAATAGTTTTAGAAGGTCTTAAAATTGGCAGCACTTCATAGATGTTGATTTATCTGATTGAATATTTGTGGTCTGTCTGTATACTACCAAGATATGAGAAGGCAGAAGCGCGGTTTATGTAAAGAAATAAAAGGCAAGGCTCGCTTTTTATTAGGTATATGGAGGCGACTTCTTTCATTATGGCGACCGTAGGTATCATGCAACTTCGTTTTTGGTTATTTCACGGTCCTCATTCATGTATGAAATTTAGATCAGGTGTACTGATACCGTTATCGAAATGGGAAGAACAACACTCTTCGTGGATGGGATGGGGTTTCCAGCGGCTGAGTAAAACGTCAGAGTGGCTGTTTGGAACTTCTAAACCCAGTACATCTGAACGCTATATTCATTTAGAAACAATAAGAGTGAGAATCATCAGTTCTTTAATTGCTTTTTTTCGTTTAAAACTCCCCTGAAGTAGTCGATATTGGGTGATATTTAATCAACTAACCATAGATGCAAGCGGACCAGATGATGAAGTTATACAACAGAGAGTTTCACTCTGAAATTGATGGAACAGGCAGTATAGTGGCGTATTCCACGTTCTACAACTCCGCCGCTGACATTGTTCGCACAAAGGTTGTTACTTTAATTTTTTAGGCAAACCGTGGGGCACCTGTGGCAGTGGTCGGAGGCACACTGCAACACACCCATGAGATCGATTCCGACGTCTGTGGCCCACTAAGCTTTCAATCCCTCCGGCATCGGCAAATTGGTACCAGACTTGTCTGGGAGGATAGCAGGACTCGCTCGATACATCGGTAGGCAACCGCGAGTCACTGTAAAAGGCCGTATATGTATCCAGTCACTTCGGAACGTTGCTTAATGAAGTCGGGCGCATGGCACATCCCTCAGGGTTTGATGAACGCTAAGAGCTTTATTATTTATCCTTTTAGGTAAATCGTAATGTATTTACTTTTCATGAATACGTTCAGGAAAACTTCGACATTGTACTGGCCCATCTTTCTGATAGAGGCGATGTTACCGTTGGACAAAGTCGCGATGGTGAGCAGATTTTAAAGTTTAGAGTAAGTTTTCTCCTTGTTTAGCTTTTTTTGAGAGATTAGATCATTGCTCATGTTTTTTTTGTTCCCTTGCGAGTTCTCTATCTTGGGATTTTCTCTAGGATAGCAATGAACCTGTTAGATTTACTGAAACCGATGCTAGCGTACACGACATCCGACGAGCCATGTCGAAGATCGAAAAGGACATCACATTTCTTGAGCGAAAAGTTGAAAAGTATACTCTTCGTTGTGGTGCTCTGATTTTACTTTTCTCATTTTCTCTTTTATGTTGGATGGTTCTCTTTTATGTTGGATGGTGACTGTCGCGCAGCTCTGCGAAACAAGGACAAGATCAAGGCAGCAAATCTACTACGGCAAAAGAAACACGTCCAAAAAGATATATCTGATAAGGACTCTCAATATCAACGATTACTGACGATGTTGCAGCAGCTTTCCGCCACCAAGGTATCATTTCAAAGTTAACAGTGCAGCTTAAAGTCTGATTTCGTGATTGTTAGCCATGGCTACGTTTTGTTGAATTATCTTAAGCTTAGGCTTAGGCTTACTATAAACACCACAGTTACAGCATAACAAAGAAATTCTGGATGCCTATAAGGCAGGAACAGCGGCTTTCAAGGCCAATCTTGCTCGACATGGCATGACCGCTGAAAAGGTGAGTTTTTTTAGGATACACATTCTGTTTACTCTCCTAAATAAATATTTTACATGTCTTAACACCATTTGTAGTAATCAGATTTGGTTTTGAGCACCAAAATTCTTCGATGCCGTCTCTATAAAGTGTGCTTACACATTGTTTTATGTCAGATTGATGAAATGATGGATGAGGTTTCAAATTCAATAGACGACTATCGTGAAATCGAAGAAGCTATAGGGCAAGCGTTTGTGCCAAAACAACATGACGACGACGAGCTTGAGAAGGAGTTGGAGGATCTTATTTCAAAGCAGAGGGTTATTTTTCCATGTTTTTTCAGTTTTAGTATGTCATTCCTTGTGTGTTCTTCATTTTACTCTTTGAAGGACATTTGGTCTTTTTGTAGACAAGAACGCAATTTGTTAGTTGCGTTTACAGGAAATACCTTCTCCGTCTTCTGATTCTAAGGAAAAGCCGATAGTGTCTCTTCCGGAAGTTCCAACAAATACTTTGGGTTTTCGTGAGTTCGATGAAGATGATGCTATGAGTCTTCAGAAACGCCTAGAGAGGCTGCGGTCTGCCGTGTAGTCTGTGATTTTTTGAAATGTGGTGATGTTCAACTCATATATTTATGAATTGCTATTAGTTTTTGATAAACGACGTATTAAGAGTAGTTCTTAGTGGTGGTCAAACCAAAACACATTAGCCCAATTGATGTTTTGGATCTAGTCCTTAGAGGTGGATCTCTTTTGTTTCCCAATTATCTTTATATAGGTTTGGAAAATATTTTCCAGTTTCTTTTTACTAAAAATGTGGTTGTGTTGCAGCCAAGTAAGTTGTTTTTTTTTCATGAAAGTCATGCAAAAAGCATTTTCTGTGAGTTTTCAACGTGAATGAACGAAGGTTTTCACCGCTATTTGTCTGAATGAATCTAGTATGCTGTGAAGAGCGGGACAATGTCTTAACACTTTAGTAACCCAACTATCGCTTAACCTCGGCTTGAATAATAAAAATGTTTCTTTAGCTTGTTCAGCCTGCACGAGGTCGGTACGAAATTTCTACAAAATCTCAGCGCCTCCGTGTTCACCAGAGCCGGGCTTATCCGAGTCGACTGTAGGCTCTTTGAAGAAATGGAGGGCCCGAAAACGTTAAGCGGATAAAAACTTTGCAGCAACCTCGTTCAGCTGAGTAATCTAAAGAAATATGATCTGTTAGCAATTTTGTCGAACAACTACTAATGTTTGCCGCTTAGTCGGTGGTACTCGCTCGTTTGAGTATTGTATTGTTGTGAATCCTTTATGTGTAATATTACGTTGTCCTTTTTAGCGAAGAGAAAGAGTTCCTTTAGAAGTAATCGTTGGAATTGGAACAATTTTGTCAATACTATCAAACGTAAATTTTGCTTTTGTAGAGATCGAAACTTTTTATTTGAGAGAAACTATAGGCGATCACATTTTCCTTTGTACTTTATCTTTTAGCGCACGCACGACTGCGCCTAATTTCTCGTCGCGTGCTAAGTGCCTAGGGAAATAGATCTGAAGGCAGTTTTGTCTAAACGATTTGTTTTAGAGGATACTTTCTCACGGACTACGGCATGCCTAATATCTATCCTAAATAATCCGTCAATTAAATGCAATTAGTAAGGGACCTTTTTGCAGCAACAGGAACCCACAAAGATTGCAAACATTGCACATTGAGTTCGATGTGTACGGTCTAGGTTTTCAGTCGAGCGTGCATTGATATCAATCCATACGGGGAATTATGTGTTAAAGGAGTGATGTAAGTTGTTTAGAGAAAAAGTGAACGCCATTATGCTAATGAAAAAATGGTTTTCTATCGATTAGGCTGGATGGCTTTACTATGTCAAAATCTCGTCGACTCTCACTCCTTTGGTGCATGATAAACATGAACTTGACCGAAGTCAATACTTATCTACTTCATTTACATCGTCTGTTTGGATTTCTTTTTGTTTAGAAGTGAATCGATGTTAGTAATTTTATGTAATAAATTTGTAAGGAGAGGATCGCAATCGGAAACATGAGCTATACAGCCAACATGATTGGGTTCTATGGGTAAAGTTCACTGTGGTTTCTACTTAACAATGAGAGCTTCTCTTTAGTCAAATTATCTGCCACAGTGAAACGACCATATCACAAAGGGATTTTCAAACTAGACATTCGAAGTTGTTTTCTTCCAATGCCAATGTTTTCCTACTTGGGTGCTTTTTTCAGCCTTTATGTGATTTCCGTTGTTTGCAGCCTTTTGCTTCTTCCAAACTTCCTTCTAAATAGATATGGATGTTATCGGTTAGACGGAGGCTTGATGAAAATTATCTTCGATTGCAACCCTGAAGGAGCGATTTCATTATTTAATGCCATGCCACGCTGGTGAGATGATTTAGGGAAATGGTGTTGTAGTTTGGCATCGTCATTATCACGCAGACGTGTCAGTGGTCGACGAACTTTGGAAAGGTAGGAGATACTCCACTGGATAAAAATATTTGATGATAAGTGCTTTGATCTGAATATAGGTGAATCACCATCGAAATTCTGCTTACCAGTTGGTTGTATTTCGTCCAAAAACATTGATAGGTGTGATAGTATAGTTTTCGCTTGTGGAACACTGAAAAACAAAACGAGCAGTGCACAGTTATCCTGGCTTTGATTGACTCTCATTCCTCCTTTTCTTGGGAAGGGGTAGGGGTGGTGCGAATGGTTGTCGAGTTGATTATCCCTGGAGTCCTGGGACGACCGAACTGGAGCGTTCCCACATGGATTGGACAGAGTAAACCAGTGCTAGATAAGTTTGGTACTAATTTCTTGACCTTGGATTCATGAGAAGCTCGGTTCGGCGGCGAACCATTACCTTGCTATTGGTGAACGACATCACTGTCACTACGCTACTGGCCATTTATGCTAGTAAGTATGACATCAACTTCGTAGAGATTCAAGGTTGTCTCTTTTCCTAACGAGTACATCGAGGTCTAGTTTGGAGATTAAGAACAGTTTTATTTCCTCTACCAAAGTTGTAATTCTATTGAATAGAAATGCTGTCAAGAGGTTGAAGTGCTGAACACGGTTGAACTGCTTTTTCCCCACGACTGCCATTTCTTCTCCACCTTCGTAGTTGAAAACAAATTTCTAGAACCCTTTTTCATTATGGTTCACTTATTTAGATGGTCATAGAGCGCGCCTTATTAAACCTCATCAGTTGCAGATTGTTGACAACTAACAATTGGAGAGCGATGAAGAAGGATACCTAGGCGAGGTGACAAGTCCTTGGAGAGTAGATATAATAGACGACGAGTGGATGTAAGACGAAAACTATGTTGACGTTTTATGACGGCAGCTTCTCTCTACTGATTTGAAGCGGCTTTCATTAACTAGACTCATGTTTTACCTCCTCTCAGTCTTCTGCAGTGCGCTAGCGTGGAATTTTATTTGGCCTGTGGGTACAAGATTGACCTAAAGATTGACGTGTGTGGAAGCTTTTGCAATGTTTTGGTACAGAATACAAAGCAACGCCCATGGTGTGTTGTGAATATGTTTGCTTCGGCATAAATGACGTCCGGAGGGCCGGCGATTTGATCATTATCATCAGTTGTCATAAGTTAGCTCATTACTCAACTTTTAGCCGTGAAAGCCTTTAGGATGAGACGCATACTTGCGTGTTGATGATCGAGTAGGTGTCCTTTGCTACCGTAGGAAGCTGCCTACATCTGAACATAGAATGCTTGCAGACAGGCGAATAAGTTGTTACCTGAAAGTTAGAAAGCTCTAACATTTAGTTACTCTCAACGGGGTCTTCTAATAGATACACGAACTCTTTCACAGCTCAGATGAAACAACTCGTGCAGTTCCTTCCTTTCTAACATCTATAAAAAATGCAAATTTCCCTATTGTCGCTGGTAAAGTGAACTCCATTTCACATAAGAATTTTGAGCGATTGCTATCGTAGCTAAACGTTCACCATCTTCATCGGAATGAGCATTCGACAAGGCGATACAATCTCAGCAAAACTTCACCATCGCATTACAGTGGACAAAAAGATCTTTCGATTGGGAGGAAATAGGGCATATGTGCTGTTTACAGATTTCTAACAAACTTCTGTCGAAGCAACAATCTTTGTTTTGGCGCCAAATGAAATTAAATGAAAAATCCGATGTAAAACTAGATTAGGCATGCCAGTTCACTGAATAAATCTGAAGAATGTGTATTTCACTAGAACTATAACGTAGTGAAAAGCCAGTCAAAATCTCTTTGAGGGACAAGAAGCCGTGTTCAAAAGTATAGCTATGGCGCTACGTTGGATATGCATAGCAACAGGGAACTAGAACAGTACGGAAGATTGAAAGCAGCGTAGTATTCCTTCAGTTCTGTCAAGCAAAACAGTCTGCAAATAACGAGATAAGATTTTCAAGCATAATTATTCTACTGTTGTTCTATGTGGCTGATATATGCACTGACATCTCATGTAAACTGACATCTCGTTGATGTACAAAGAATCTCGGCAACATCTACGAAAGAACAATAGCATCCGAACTGCTACGAGATAACGTGATCTTAAGCCCATTTCTCCACGCAAACATGCATGCTTCTGTCTTGTACGATATGCTTATAAGATTCATTTATCTAGACAAACTCAGACGCTTTTATACTATCTGGTAGTTCATACTCATTTCATTGTTTCCTGAAAAAAGCAGGACCTTCCTTATGTGAAGAATCCCCGGCCGATTAGTCACAAGGTTATATGCATTGTCTCAAAGAGTGCAACTAAAAGCGAATGGGTATTAAGTCATTCAAAGTTATACGTCAGATTTTTGATTGTGAACGCTTCATTCAATTTTTGATTAATGTAATTTATTTGTGCTATAGTCGGATCTTTTTTTTGAATTTTCAATTTGTGTCCAGTTTAGGTCTTTAGGAAAGAAGGCGACAACAAGTTCAGTTAAATATTTGTACAATTTGAAACACAGATGTAAAGCCTCAGAAACGATTTGTTAACTAACACAACGAAGAATGGCTAAAATCTTACTGTATAATGCCTCTTTCGAAGTTTCGAGATAGAGAAAGGAATCCTAAAGATGTGAACCTTAAAGAATTTATAAGATTTGTTCAATGGTTCTTTTACGCAAGGAGGACGACCAGCTTTTTGACAACACTTGATCCTATATTTCAAAAGTGGTGTTCCGCAAGCCGAATAAATTGGAATAAGGAATTCGACCTGATCTGCATTTGTCACTAGACCTATCAACAGAGGACTAATACTTCTTTAAAGACTTGGTAAAGTCATTTTTTTCTTGATGAGCAAACACGAGGTTGTTATCACTTCATTTATTAATACACACCTCCTAACGGTTTACCGCCTCATCGTGGCTGGGAGGTGTTCCTGGGTGTCGGACTGCGGTGTACAACCGGGTGATTCCCCCGGCAGGGTCTGCCAAGCTGAGAAGGAATCCGGCGTTTCCATCAGGAAGCCTAGCTAAGAGTAAACCAATACCATTACCCGCCACCGTATTGGTATCAAAGTCGCATAGTGATAAATCTCCCTCTGATCCACAAGGGCTGCGACTACCTGTCGTGGTGACGTCCTGGGGCAGATTTAGGTCAGGCTGTCCTCGGGATTCCAGGGAGCCACAATGACTTGACCAGCAAATCTCCGAAAAAGTGGTGATTATGCTGGGGCCCGAACAACTAGTGATGACGGGCCGTTCGAGTATCAAGTATCAAGTTCAATACACAATAGCCGAGCTGAGGTTAAGAGAAAGTCAGTCCTAGGACGTGATAAATTTTAATGCAAAATATCCGCCAGTCAAATGGAAGCAAAAGAGAATCCGATGACTCCATCGATCGGAAGGTCTCGATCAAAAGGACCAGACTGCTAAGTAGATGGGATGTTTAAGCATCTCAAAAGATGGCAACGTGCATTGGTTATAGATTGGTGTATAGTTTAGTGGGCCTAGTTTGATTGATTTCATAATCATATATTTCATACTGAATGACCTACTCACCAACCCTTCCATCCTTCCGAGGTCGGCAAATTGGTATCAGATTTGTCTGGGAAGATAGCAGAGCTGCCTCGATATAATACATTGGTAGGCCATAACGAGTCATTCTCTAGACTGGATATGCATTCAGTCACCTCTAATGACGCTGGATGAAGTCGAATGCATGGCGTATCGCTCAGGGCTTAGTTAACGTCGAGAGTTTCATCCTCTTTCGTTTTATAACCACAATGAACAAAGAATGAAGCGCTTCCCATTTTACGTTGTTCACTACTTAATAAAATAATCAGTTTTTATAGCCATGATAATTCCATTATCTTGTTGCGTTTTAGTAAATGGTTCAATCACATGACAGTAGCTTCATTTGCAAATGTCGGCGACAGTAGAAGGTGTCGAGGAGAGAACGGAGGAACCAACTCGAATTCCCGAAGACGAAAATGTGATCGAGGTCTGTTGGTTGCATGTCATTGTAAACGTTCGAGTTCTTCTCAGTGATGACAAGTCAAATTTGTCGTTGCGAAAAGCGGCTACCACTATAGACGACAAGGTCATGTATAAGATTGACGGCCAGAAGTGATGTAAATGGAGTAATTCTCTCTTCCACCGAATCAATGAGAATCAGTGGTTGACAGAACATATTTCTTATAACAGTAAGAGAAATGAAAGACTAGTCTTTTGGGAAGAATTACGCTGCACTTAGATTAGGAAATAATGTATGGTCGATGGCGGATCCAAAGCAATGTCAATCACCATCGTCCACGTTGGTTTATAAACTTTCTAAGAGTATCTTTACAAAAGAACAACTCCATGTTCCTAAATAGCGTAATGTCACGATTTTATTCGCTATCTGTGCTGGCGATAGGCAACTGATCGACGTTAATGAAAAGTTGGCCAACAGCTAGACGAAATTGGTTTTTAACTAGAAATGGTCTAGCATCAAAGATTACGATAACAGTCATTCCTATTAATAAGTCAATATTGTGGTCTAGGTTTCAAAAAATACGCAGACAGAGAAACTGTATGACTCAACTACCAGTGGAATATTTTAAAGCAGAAATAGCGTTGGTGTGATTTCACTGCGCTAAATCTTAGCCTCCTGTTTCGACTGTTTTTATTGCAATGAATTTTTTCTGCGGACTCAACGTTGTGAAGAAATAGTGATAACTTAAAAAAGAGGATTAGCAGAGGTGCAGCAATCATCCTCTTAGTTCCACTAGTGGTTTCCAGGTCGATAAAAACACGACAACTCTGGATCTAACCCGTACACGCCTTAAGAAAATCGAAGGATTCGAGTTCCTCAGAAAGGTCTGTGGTGTTGTTTTTCACCTTTCTGTAACTTCATAACAATTCTTCTTAAAGCCACCAATTTACTTTACGTATTCATTTCCAGATTAGAAATTTATGCTTACGATGGAATCTAATCAAAACCATCGAGGGTCTAGATAATCTCACCACTCTAGTGGAGCTGGACCTCTACGATAACCAGGTCTTCTCCCTTGTATTGAAATATCTGATGCTAACTTTTTACTGACATCTTTAGATCGAGAAAATCCAGAACCTTTCATCATTGGTGAACCTTGAGGCACTGGATCTTTCCTTTAATCGGCTCACAAAAATAGAGAATCTGGACAATCTTACGAAGCTTAAAACGCTGTATCTCGTCCACAATAAAATAACGAAAATCGAAGGCCTTGACAAGGCAAAGTGCTATTCATTTCTTAAGTTTTTTTCTGTCATACCTAATTTTCGCATTCGGCGTTTGGAAATTTCAGCTGGTCAATCTGGAATACCTCGAGTTGGGCGACAACAGGATCAAGAGAATTGAGAATCTGGACGCGAACGTGAACATCAGTCGTTTGTTCCTTGGAGCGAATCAGATTCGGAGAATTGAAAATCTTGGCCATCTCACAAAAATAGAAGTGTTAAGCCTGCCTGCGAACGCAATAACCGTAGTAGAGGTCTATAAATTTAATCCATTCATTTTTTGATTCTTCGATCGCACAAGGTGATGGGGTACTAAAAATATGGCTCTTTCACGTGACCCATCTTCACAATTGTGTGAATCCTAACACAAAAATTCTGTTGGTTTCCACCATTATCCAAGAAAATTGTGATTAGCGTATGGGTTCGGGTTTAACTTTTGGAATTTGTCATTTTCCATGAACGTAGTCTAATGTTGGCTTAGCGCAATTCGTCGTGGAATCCTAGGAGAGCTCTGCTCGGGCATTCACAGTTTTTCATAAAAGGCAATGGCCGAACTATTTGGATTAGAAAAAGTTGTTCCCAAACAAGTGTGGTACCAATTTTCTCACCCGGGACTGGAGGTTGGTTGACGCTGGACGAGGTCAAACCAGCAGCCATATATGTATGCACTTGTAGCTACTGCACTCCAAAAGCGATCGTACGCTTTGTAAAATGCGCTCATTATGTACCATACATATGTTTATTAACGGTTGTGTTTATTTGTGTTCTGTTTACCGCACTCTCGTGTTTATTTGTTTAACCACGTCGGTAGAAAGCCATTTATGAACGCCATATTTATTGAAGACTTGCCAAAAGCGCGAATGATATGAAACCCGTTGGCGCCATATGGGGCCCGCAGGTTTGGTTTGTTTCTTTTGTTTAACTTCATGTCGATGTAAATGACTCTAGGGAGTGTCAAATCTGTCGACGTTGCGTGAAGTATACTTTGCTCAAAACGGGATCCAGTCTACATCTGGTCTGGAAAATCTAACTAACCTCGAAATACTCGACTTTAATTATAATCGATTGCAAAAAGTAGAGGGTATCCATCATCTTAAGAAGCTTACGGATTTCTGGGCGAAAAACAATAAGGTGAGAGTTCTTCAGTCTTTTTTGTTACCAATATCACATGAGAAAATATGTTAGAAAGGGAACGTCTAGGTTGATCAAGAAAGGTCATAACCCAAATGTAAATATTTCGGCGCCTTCTAGTTTCAAACTCTCAGTATCCATAGGATCTGAATACAGGACCTCCAATTAAAATCTACATTGGACTGTCCAAGCTTTTAAATTAATATTGATGATCAGCTTCAGATTGATACGGTAGTCAGGCGTACAAGTGCAATTCAACCGTTATGGCATCTCGTTTTACATCAGATTAGCTAAAATGGATCATCAAAACTGAAAAAGAACAATGAATGTACATCAGATTCCTCCGAAATTCACAAAAACACTCGTGTTCCTTCCAGTTATCCGTCATATGTTCTCATGAATAGCTCAGTTTCTTCCCAAGACCGACTTTCCGTTAACCTCGGCATTAATTGATAATTCAATGTTTTTCATCAATAAGCAGACACGAGGTTGTTAATATAGAATTTATTAGAACACAATTGCTGACGTTTCGGCGGTTTCGCCTTCTTCAGA